AATTGCTTTCTATCACCCCCATTTGTGTTTATATCGTTCATGAATAGAACCTAGATATCTGGTAATGGAAATGGTTATGGTTATGCTGAAAATATATAGGGTAAGATGGAGAATCTAGATGCAAATCAGCTTCCTGAAGTAGATGCAATGCCGGATGGATTTGTTGACAGCTCCACGGAGCCTGTGGCTCCTGCAACCCCTACTGTAGAACAAGAGAAGCTACGGAGTCATGATACCGAAGAAGATACAATGTCTGATCTGCATCATCCTAATTTGCCAGGACCACTAGAGCTCTCGCATGAATCGACACCGAGTCATCCTGGAACTCAGAGAACTGAAAAGACACGGACTTTTCCTGTTCCACTGTCTGAAACTGATGTGTCTGAAGGCTCAGGCCATGTGATAGAACTGTCCCCTAAAACTGAAGAAGATATAGTGAGGATCCCTAATTCAATGGATCAAGTTTCTGACGCTCCCCCTGGAGCAACCAGCAATGACGCAAAAGATGGTGTCGACAGTGACAGTCAAAGTTCACAGAGATGTAATTGAACTTTTTTCCACTGCATTTTCATTTTTCTGAAACTTTTTTATAAGATTTGTGGTGTGGGATTGTTTGTGATCTGTTTTTTGGCTTACAGCTGTTCAAGCCACTTCAGACATGCAAAATGCGGATGTGAAAGAAATATCTTCCTTGGAAAACATCGAGTTATCAGGGAGCAGAAAACAGGTTAGTCATGTACCTATTGTTTGTAGAGCAGATTTGGATATAAATTTTGCTTTCTCATTTCATTAATCAATTTTGTTTGCTATGATGAGAGTTGGGAATCTGCACATCATTTGCATCATTCAATAGCGTCTAAATTTAGAATCTCTGTTCAACTTTCCTCCTGGTCTGAGAGAGGAAGGGCATCCAATAAAGAGGAAAGCCGTTTTGTTTATAGAATCCACCTAATGACTTATATTTAACTCAGGCTGTAGCTCTGGTTCACCAAGTAATTAAGTTGTATTTTAACTCGGCTCCTTTCGTTCTATTTCTTTTGCATATTCATGTTTGAGTGAAGGATTTTGGTGACAGCTTGACACTGAAAGTTGGTGTGTTATGACTGTCAGTGATCTAAATGCGTATATTGTTGATATGCCCAATTGATCGAGATCAACCATCAAAATGGTTGTATTTGTCTCATAATGATGATTCGCTGTTGCAGGAAACTTCTGAAAATAAACGTAAGAATGTTAAAAAGACATTTAAAGCAGAGAAGGAATTTCTAGAGTTTACTTTGAAGTATCAGCAAGTTCTTTCTGAGAGAGATGCTGGTGAGTTTTGAGGTCTTTAGTATTGGAAATTCTACTTTTGTGTCGTTTAATGTGCATATAAACTCCAAATCTCACAATAGTTTGTTGTTTTATAGAAGTTGTTCCTTTATTGTCTTGGGTTTTAGGGCCATATTTCTGGTTCCTTTATTCCTTATTTGCTCTTTACTTATTTCATTAAGTGATTGCTTTTCTAATCTATTCTTAGTACATTTGTTTCGCTGTTCTACATGTAATATAAACTTAGCCTGAGAATGGTAATATGCAAATATTAGTGCCTGAAAAATACCTAAATAGCTTAACAGTTTTGCTATAGTTTGTAGTTTAAGATGCTTTTGTAGAATTGCCAGTGAGATCATTCTGTTCATCTCGGTATGAGTTGAAAATATACTTACAATGTCAAAAAGTGGATTTTATGCTGTTATATTAGAGGTTCCACAGACCGAAATTCTAAAGGTGACATAAAAATGGCTATATTATGTTTTTACTGGTCACTGAACTTTCTTTATTCATAGGTTTCCAGTATATTTAGAAGTCGATAGATGAAAGGTTTACCTTGGTGATTATGCGAATATTTTCTACGAGTTCTCCTTTAAAAGAGTCACAACTATTTAATCAATTACGGAAAAATGAGATTCTTAACATTTTCCATCTCCAATCTTACAACATAATATGTTCTTCTTGATTTATGTGTTTGCAGCTATCATTGTCCGTAATAAGCTCGAGTCACTGTGTAGGGAGTTGCAACGCCAGAATAAAGTACTAATGGTATAGCCCTGCTGCATTGCCTGGTTCACTTGAATCTTAAACTGCAAAAGACAACATCATCAAGTATAGAAAAACCGTACTGAAACTGCATATAAATTTGGCTCCTTGTTAGCCACACCAAACCCTTATTTTTAGTGCTTGTCTGCTGCGAGTCATATCAATTAGAATTCCATTGGCTATTGACTGGTATTGTGCCCGCTCAAGTCATTAAAGCCAAAGCTACTCCTGATTATTGATTTGCAGGAACCACTTTTTGACGTTTAACTTCCTGAGATATTGTTAAAAATTCTGAATTTGTGAAACAAAAAGGGAAGGATGGGATTTCGAATATCACCTCTCCTGCATTAGTTGATACTTCATTGATACTTCAAAAAACTTTGAAATGGAATGAACGGAAAGAACGTAAATGAATTTCCATATAGGCAATTTGTTGTCCAACTTCTGGTCTGACTTTTAGTCTACAAGTAAAGCTTTGTCTTATGAATGGGAAAGAGGAACATGTCTTTCCTCTACACTAGGTAGTCTTTGACTGACTAATAATTTGACAGGATGAGTGCAAAAGAGTATCAACCGAAGGGCAAAGTTTGAGATTGGATCTATCTGCCAGGTTTCAAGATGCAATTAAGGTTTGATAGACACTTTGAAATCCTTATTTTGTTCATGTGAGCATATGGTCTGGATGGCATCAGTTTGCATCTGAATCAGCTTCTTTTCTGGATTAGGATGTGAGCAATAAGCTGGATGAGCAGAAGGAAGAAAGTCTCTGTCAGTTGAGGGAAAATGAGATGTATGTTAAACTATTCCACTTATTCAATGCTTTTCTTACTCTTGTTTGAATCTGATTCTGTATATACGGCAAGGTGACATTCTGAACTACATGACAAGAGTATACATAGGCATGATATTTAATGAACTTTTGTTTAACGTAACCTACTAACTTCCATTCTTTTTGGTTGTCATAACAAAATGATGCAATATTGTCAGAACATGTAGTAATGCTTAACCTCCATCTTTACTCAAAACTTTGTTATTCTATACAATTCTAGGGTGTATTGGGGCTTTTGCTTACTCGGAAAGAATGTCATATCTTGTATACTGGAATGTCCATGTATGAAATATGATTGATGAAGCTTCCTAGATGACCATCCAATTGCGCTTTTTGTAGGTTAAGAACCAAGCTGAAGCAACTTGCTGAGCAGTATACGCTTTCTGAACAGCAATTTGCACAGAAGGTATCAGCTGACTAACATTTTCATAAACTAAATATATTACTTGCTGGTTTATCATATTAAGTGCTCATGAGTAATTTCTCCATTTAATTGGCCTGCAGCTAAAACAGAAAAACCTGGAACTTCAGATCTCTGATCTAAAGATCAAGCAGCATGAGGAAAAATTAGTCCAGGAGCAGTCACAGATGAAAATTTATGCTGAACAGGTGTCACAGTTACTATCAACCGAAAAGAATTTGAGGTTGCAATTGACGGCAGATGGGGAGAAGTTTCAACAATTCCAGGTCTGGATCCTTAAATCAAAAGAAGTAATGATTCACAAACAAGAAGATTGTTGTTCCAAATGTGAAAACTATCATCTTTTTTGGCGTTCCTTCGGGGGAAATCTATCTTTACATGTTTCCTTTTCTTTGATCTTTCTTATCGGCGTGTGATGGTTTGCAGGAAGCATTAGTGAAGAGCAATGAAGTTTTTGAAACATTCAAGCAAGAGATTGATAAGGTATTTTCACGTTTACCTGCCAGAAACTTCATGCTGGGAGAGAAATCTGTTGATTTCCTCACGTAAGTACATAGGAAACAACATGCAATCTTGATACTAACCCGACACCATAACTATCAGATGGCAAAGTCCATAAAGGAACTGAAGAAGGAGAACACATTTTTGAAGAGTAAATGTGACAAATCTGATTTTACCCTTATTGAGCTCCTTGAGGAGGTAGTTGCCTTTTCTTTCTGTTTGATTGTTTCTCTAAATTTAGCTCTCAATCAAAACTACAAATACATTTGGCTCTTGGTACCACTTCGACGAATATCAGTTCTATTGGCTTAGGCCCCGTTTCCAACTTCTATACCTGAATACCTTTTCTCTTGGTTGAGCAGCGGGAAAGAATGAAGAAACAACTGGAGAAAACCAAGAACCAGAAAGAAAAACTAGAATCATTGTGCAGATCACTTCAGGCGGAAAGGAAGCAGAATTCTGCTGCCGCTGATACAACTGTGACAACTGCGACAACTGCTACAAGCAATGTCCCTGACCCACTTCCGGAATGACAGGTGTATTTGCAGCAGCTCCTTCAACAAAGTTTTGTTCCATTTTTCTCTGGACAGCTACCCCTCATTTGACTGGTCTAACTTGATGGGATCTGGATGTAACTGCTTGTATGCTCTTCTGGAAGCAGTCAAACCAAGCATACTAGAACAGAGAGTTGAGAGAGAATGGTCCTTGTGTATTTATAGATGCAGTCTTGCATCTTTCAGTGTAGTCGGAATGCCGAGGGGAGGAGGGGACCTTGGAAGCCCCTAGCTGGAAAACCCTTCTGTACTGTTGTGTTCTTTTGTATGTATAATTTGGCAGCTGGTTGAGTTGCTTGATTAACGAATTGGATTGCTCTTTACTTTGATTGCTGATCAACTATCGGCAACGAAGGAATCAAGTCAATCTTATTCCTGCATTCTCTTCTTTCAGCGAGATTATCTTGATGGTTATGCCATTTGATTGCAGTTTTCTTTTCTATGGAGTATGCTACATTCTTCATCAACCGACATCGAAACTGTTTGATGTTTCGACAGCAGAGTTCTCCTCTGAATGCTCTTGTTTTGTGGTTTTGTTTTTTGGTATCAGTAACTTGGTTTGTCTGAACCAATGCTCACTCTCAAATGTGACTATGTGAGTGCCCTTTTAGTTCTAAAAGCTTCTCTATTGCATAGCAAATACTTGTTTGGACTTTGGACTGTCACCAGCTCCATTACATCTCATGAAGCCGAACGTTATGGGCCTTGCTTGGAAGCAGAACAAGTTAAATGTGGGTCAGCCCAAGCCAAACGATACGGGCCTTGCTTGGCTCTGTGGCCCATTTTCCGACCTCGATTGCGGAACCGAAAACCTTGGGACGACGATCGACGAGTGTCGAAACTCGAAACCCAAAAACCCTGCCCTGAACTCGATCTCTCTCTCCGTAAACAATAGTTCGTTGTTAGAAGCTTTCTCTGCACTGCGAATCAAGGAATTTCGACCACAGAGCGAAGAAATGGGACGGGCAGCTCTTCTCCACTTGATCCGATCTCAAACCAGATGCATATCTTCTGCCACCAACCGCTTACCTTCAGGTTTGTTGTTCTCGTTTCTCACTGCAGAAGCATCGTATGCTGACCTGACCTAATACCCTTTTACTGGAATTGTACGAGGAGAAGAAAGTTCCGATCTTTTCTTGTTTTAAGCTTGTAATTTGGTTCTGTCACCTCTTCTGCTGATAAGGTCTTTTGAGTTGAATGGGGAACAAATTCTGTGGTCTTGTAGCTCTTAGATGTGACCATTTTGAGCGGGTCTCTGGGTTTTTTTCCTGTCTTACTCGTGAGCATCTCCTGTTTCTACTTTCTAGTTTCATTCAGGGTGGTAGTTTCTACTGAACATTTATACAGATTGGCTTCAATTTCTTGTTGATAGGATGTCCTGATTAGATTCTCCTGGGGTAGCAGCCATGATCCTAGTTTTTGCTTGCAGTCTGCAGCTCACTATTGCGCAATCGGTGTTTTGAGCTGTAACTCCCAGACACTTATCATTTAACGGTCTGTACAAAGGAAAATGAATTTACCTTTGCAGAGTGTTCAGAATCATATAGTGTCCATTCCGTTCTTATTAACCACTCACAGTGTTGGACCCCTAATTTGGGGATCTTCAGTGACTTTCTACTGTCTAACTGGGGCTGCTTCCCTCTTTTAGCTTGACAAGTTCGGTTGTGCTAATTATGCTTCATGTTTCAAGTCGCCCTATGTCCAAGTTAGTGTTTAAGTTATGTGTACCAAATGTTTTGGTCATGTAAACCTCCCTGGTTACTGTTGATCTGACACTGGTTCAACCTAGTGTGATCTTTGCCTTGTGCTTGTAATCAAACTATATCCAATCTCTCGTATAAATTTTTTGTCCAACTATGCAATTCAATCACGATCGGGTTGGTTGATACATGATGAGATTGAGTTCATTTAACATGTTTTCATTTTTGCCCAGTATTCTGTGCTAGTGATGTTCCTATAGTTTGCTGCATCATTGTTTTAGGAACATTCTGTGTCTGCATTCTAGTTTCAGAATCGTTGCTTCTCAGCAACTAACCACTGGCTTATCAGAACATGCATATTTATCCCTTTCTTTTGAAGGTGTAGACTTCTAACTCCTTGTTGTTGATTCCATCCCTCAATTAGGTTATCAACCCTATAGGACCATCCCATGGTTGCACCTTCCAAATGCTAGACCCAGCTTCACTCCTGCTTTCTCGGCGCAGAAAAGGTGGGCATCTCAAGCTGCTGCTGCTGCTGAAGAAGATGATAACAGGATCTCCATTGGTCCACGCAAGGATAAATCACCTGAAGAAGACAAAGATGATGAAGACGAGACCGGGATTGTTTATCGAGGTCCCATATCATCAACGATCAAGAAAGTAAAGATGCTATCACTCTCCACCTGCTGTCTGTCGGTCTCCCTGGGACCCGTCATCACCTTCATGACGTCAACAGATTCGAACGTGATCCTGAAGGGTGCGGTTGCATCGTCCGTGATCTTCTTCAGCGCCTCGACCACCGCCGCGCTGCACTGGTTCGTGAGCCCTTACATTCACAGGCTGAGGTGGCAGCCTGGTTCCGACAGCTTTGAGGTGGACAAGATGTCCTGGCTGGCCACGTTTGCCAAGGAGACCATCAGATTTGCAGACATCCGTGTGGCGGAGACCAACCGACCCTTTGTGTCTTTCATGGCCAATGGCAAGTTTTACTTCGTGGACAAAGAGCACTGCCACAACAAAGCATTGCTTGCCAGACTTACCCCGCAGACGCGGGAATCGGCATTCAAGAACTTGTGAATTGGAGAAGGGGCCGAACCATCCTTGCAATATGTACCAGAGCTTAATTCCTCTATCTGGTCTTGACACTTGATCCTGCCCGATTTAAGCTTGGGTTTATGACTGGCTTGAAACTGTTTCAGGTAGAAGGGAGTTTAGATAATAATTTTATGCAGTCGAATCTCATCGAGTTGCTAAAGTTTTGCTGGCGGTGAAGAATATTTGTTCGAAGATCTATCATGTTTGAAATTGCAATTGTTATCGCAGTATTATGTATCTCTCCTTTTCACCTCCTTTTTTCCACTGCGGTACACAAGTCCAGAATCCTCACTTTATACAAAAAGTGCTATTTTCTCATACAACGGTTCAAATTCGAAACTAGGGAGTTTATACCAACTTTTGCTCCTCATCGTTTCTGATCACGAATTGTCAAATCCTCGACAGAGCAAATGTAAAGCTCGGTTTGAGAACGAAGCTTCAGTTTAGAGAAGGATTCAATCGATTTCGGTATATGCTTTGAGCCAAACGACGGAATATTCAATGTTTATCTTGTGCATCGGTGCTGCAGTCGCGGTGCCAAAACAAGGGTTGATAGGGGAACTTATAGATAGTGATGGCAATTTCAACTCGCCCCGCGGGTATTACCCGACCTGACCCGCGATAGGGCGGGTATTACCCGATCCACAGTAGCGTGGGATGGGGCATGGATATATACTTCCGACTCGCCTTGCCCCGTCCCACCCCGTTCTAGACTCATTTTATCTCAATATCTTACAATTTATATACATATTTCTCCTATTTTGATTTTTCTTCAACTAGTTAGAGTCGCTCTTTCAACTTGTTAGACTCAATTACCCATTCTATTATCACTATTTTTCATTTTTAAAGTGTTTTACCCTTCGTTTTATCATAAAAAGTAAAATTTACTTGTATTTTTTTCGAATAACATGTAAGAGTGGGTCGACCCGCCCCACCCCGTAGTAACGTGGGCGAGGCATGAGAATTGAGGTGTCCGCCCCATTGCCATCACTGCTTATAGAGGAATCAGATTCCCAGAGTTATAATCTATCGATGTAACGAACAAGAAGGATTAATTTTCTTCCAAGTTTCCATAACATCCATTCTCATACCATATTCAACTGATCAATCAAAAACACTGAAACGGGCATGATACGGAACAATACCACCAACATATAACTAGTATGTATAAGAGACATCCATTCCTGGAAGCAAAAGAAACTCGAGAGAACTCGATTCTCCAGCGCAAAATCCTTGGGCAAATACCAACAGTAGCAACAACACAAACTTTAAAAATGTTTTAGACTCAACATAGAAACGAGACAAAAGACTCAGAAACTCGAAACAGTAGCACCATAACTCCACCACCGCCTATCAAGGACCCAATTCTGTGAATTGGGTCCAAGGGACGATGGTGATGACTTGACATTGTAATTCTCAAATGAAACAGAAACTCCTCCAGCAGCACGCCGGCTTGTAGTGACCAAGCTCCATTCCCTGCAGTCGACCTGCACGGTTCATTTCTTCTTGGCAGCAGCCTTGGTGACCTTGGCACCGGTAGGATCCTTCTTCTCCACGGCCTTGATCACACCCACAGCAACTGTCTGCCTCATGTCACGGACAGCAAACCTACCCAGAGGTGGGTACTCAGAGAAGGTCTCAACAACCATGGGCTTGGTTGGAATCATCTTAACAAACCCGGCATCTCCGTTCTTCAAAAACTTGGGCTCCTTCTCGATTTCCTTGCCAGATCGCCTGTCAATCTTGGTCATGATCTCAGAGAACTTGACAGCGATGTGGGAAGTGTGGCAATCCAGCACCGGGGCGTAACCGTTTCCGATCTGGCCGGGGTGGTTCATGATGATGACCTGGGAGGTGAAGTTGGCAGCCTCCTTGGCAGGGTCGTCCTTGGAGTTGGAGGCAACAAACCCACGCTTGAGATCCTTGACAGCAACATTCTTAACATTGAAGCCAACATTGTCACCAGGAAGAGCCTCCTGGAGAGCTTCATGGTGCATCTCCACAGACTTGACCTCAGTTGTCAACCCAGTAGGGCCGAAGGTGACAACCATACCAGGTTTGATGACACCGGTTTCCACCCTGCCCACTGGCACAGTTCCAATACCACCGATCTTGTACACGTCCTGAAGTGGGAGACGGAGTGGCTTGTCTGATGGCCTCTTGGGCTCGTTGATGTTGTCAAGAGCATCAAGAAGGGTTGGACCCTTGTACCAGTCGAGGTTGGTTGACCTCTCAATCATGTTGTCACCTTCAAACCCAGAGATGGGAACGAAGGGAACCTTGTCTGGGTTGTAACCAACCTTCTTCAGGTAGGATGAAACTTCCTTCACGATTTCATCGTACCTTGCCTTCGAGTACTTGGGGGTAGTGGCATCCATCTGACCATCAAATGCAGGAAACAAACATTAGTGACAGGACAATTAACCATTACTCAAACAGGGAATTCAGACAACAATAAACACGGAATGGTAACATGAACAAGAACTGACCTTGTTGCAGCAGCAAATCATCTGCTTGACACCAAGGGTGAAAGCAAGGAGAGCATGCTCACGGGTCTGTCCATCCTTGGAGATACCAGCTTCAAAACCACCAGTGGTGGAATCGATGATGAGGACAGCACAATCAGCCTGGGAGGTACCAGTAATCATGTTCTTGATGAAATCACGATGTCCAGGGGCATCAATGACCGTGCAGTAGTACTTGGTGGTCTCGAACTTCCAGAGGGCAATATCAATTGTGATACCACGCTCGCGCTCAGCCTTCAGCTTGTCGAGCACCCAGGCGTACTTGAATGACCTCTTGTTCATCTCAGCAGCTTCCTTCTCGAACCTCTCAATCACACGCTTGTCGATACCTCCAAGCTTGTAGATCAAGTGACCGGTGGTGGTGGACTTGCCGGAGTCGACATGTCCAATGACCACGATATTGATATGAACCTTTTCCTTACCCATGATGACGAAACCCTAGCTGCAAGCCATAAAAAAAAATTATTCCAGGGAAAGAGGACTCGTTTAGATCCACGATTCACAATCTCAACGGAAGCAACATAATTACAGATCTAGACAAACATGACAGCAGTAATAACAATCGGCGTTCGATAAATCTTCACAAGATGCGACAAAACGAAGAAACCAGCTGAAACATGCAGAAGAAACCAACGGATTCTAGATAAACAGAGAATCCGAAAGTCACAGATGCTTAAGGAAAGTAAAGAGAAAGGAATCGGTGAACAAAAAACCAGCAAGATGCGGTCCAAATCTTCAGATCAACCAACATTGAATTATACAGATCCTAAATCGACGGAGGAGCAATATACCGGAAGCATGAAAGGAACGAATCAAAGGAAAATAGGCAATCGAATGAGAAAGTGATCAGAGAACGAACCTGATGAGAATAATTCGCTTCGCAGAGAGCTAAAACCCTAGCCGTCAGTCGAGAGGAAAGCGTAGGGCGAGGATGGGATGAGTGTAGGAGTAGGGTTTTCAGGTATTTATAACAGCAGACCAAGTAATTCCCCCTCAAAAAAGAAAAATGGACTAGCTGGAAGTGTATAATAACGTATATGCCCTCGAGGGTTCACATTGGAGCAACTCTACCCGATTGGCTTGGTGCACACGCGTAATTAGGGAGGATAAACGGATTAGAATTTAGAAGTAGGGTTTGGCAACGATCCAATTCACACGGAATGAATTTTATCAACAGTTATTTGGATTGAATTAAATTGAGTTTAGGTCCGATTTTAACTCTTAATTTTATTTGTTTTGGTTTGCTCTTATTTGGAGTTGTTTCATTCTAGACCGAATCGACCAATGTACACTCTAATTAGAAGCATGAAGGAATGAAATAAGATTAATGTAACCACGCCTCCAACTTGAATAGAGCGGGTAGATCGGATCAAATACAACCGGTTATCCAATCGAATCTCTCACAACTGTTTGCATATTACTATAGTTGAGTCGATCGATTGGAGCAGACACTCTAGGTTAATTCGGCCAAACGAAGTAAAGCGTTGCCTCGTTGAACTTCTTTGTTGTAATTATCATGTGTTTACCATTTTTCTAACTATAAAAGTAGAGAAGAAATCATCAGCTTGAAACTCTTAATTATTCAATAAAAGAGCTCCAAACTCCTAGATGCTCCTCCTAATCTTCTTCCCCAGGTCTCTTCTCGTATTCAAAGAACAACCCTTGGCTCTTTTCTCTCTCCTTTGTGCTTTGTGTTCGAAAATATGCTCTTTTTTTACCTTGAACCCCAACTCTTTTTAAAGGGTGGGGAATCCAGACTAGTTCACTGTTGAGATTTACTTAATGACACAGCCGTGAACTTGGTGCATGTCCCGTAATCTTTGAGGCGACATCCTTCTATCATGAGTTTCCTCATAGATCACGATTGTGAACTCGTAGGTCATGGTTTCCTTTAAGCACTTGCGAGTTCAATCACAATAGCTTATGTTCGCTCGACTCTTCTTATTGCTAGGACTCACAACCTGGGTATAAAGATCCCAACCATGAACACTCATGTCACGGACTTGGTCTCTCGTTGTAGTAGGAGAATTCCTCATTTTGTATTCTCCTACACTTGTTGCCCTAAACTCCAATCCAATTCAATCCACCTAAACCAACATATTCATACCTCTATATAGAATATGAAGCAATCATATGCAAAAGTTTGAAGATCAATTAATCTCAACAAGGACATGAGAGCACCTATATACAGAAGGCTAATACCATGTATTTTAGGTGTTATCAAATACATCAACTAAAAATTACACCCTTTCACATACAAATTCTCTAATCTTCTTATGGTTCAATCTTATACATATGGAACATTAAAAAATTTTTTATCGTACAACAAATACTTCTTTAAACATGATCAACTACTTCATGTACACTTTCTAATAGAAACCTTTTTAGTGTGTTCGATAATGTTCACATTATGTTGACAATGATATATAAAGTCATAAATATCGAGTTCAATTATGGTTTGATTGAGTTTAATATCGTTGTCTTCGCGAGTAGGCTTAGATTTTCTTATAATAACTTGAATGACGTGATATACTAATTAGTATAATTTGGAGAGAAAAAAATGAATAGACACTTGGTGAATATTTCGATTATCGATCCATATATGACTATGTTAAAAAATAAAATCTAAGTGATTGTTTTGTTAGTAATCCTAGTGTATGGGGCTACTTGTAATTAGTCTCTGTTCCCGTCAACCTATCGCCGCTGTGCGACTTCCGCCCTTCCATTTGAGGGTCAAAATCCGAATAGCACTACCGCCATTTCGTAATCATCCCGTCGGCTAGTCTGAGGTCTCGCCGTGATCTTGTCTCTCGGCTGAATTGACAGGCCGACGCCACCGTCCAACTTCCTCACATACGTGCTGCGGTCAGTTATCTCTGCTGTAGCTTCTGTGTTTTATTCCGTTTCTCGATTGGGACTGACCCAAATTTCCACTACTCAAGTTCCTAGGGTTTACATTGGTCAAGTCCTGTGGAAAAGAGTAGAAATTTAGCTTTCGTCATTATCCTTATGGCAATCCCCAGAGAGCTCTACCCCTCTCAGGACGATCTTCCCTACGAGGAAGAGCTTTTGCGAAACCCATTTAGCCTGAAGCTGTGGTGGCGGTACCTAGTTGCCCGTCGAGAAGCCCCTTTCAAGAAGCGTTTTATAATATACGAGAGGGCACTCAAGGCTTTGCCTGGAAGTTACAAGCTTTGGCATGCCTATCTCACTGAACGTCTGGATGTTGTTAGAAACCTACCCATTACCCACTCCGAGTACAGGACTCTCAACAATACTTTTGAGAGAGCTTTGGTTACAATGCACAAGATGCCTCGTGTCTGGATAATGTACTTGCAGACGTTGACGAGGCAGAAGTTTATCGAGCTCACTCGCCGAGCTGCAGACCGGGCACTTCGTGCTTTGCCCGTCACCCAGCACGATAGGATCTGGGAGCTGTACTTGAAGTTTGTGAGTCAGGAAGGGGTTCCGATCGAGACTTCGTTGAGAGTCTATCGCAGGTATTTGAAGTACGATCCTGGTCATATCGAGGACTTCATTGAGTTCTTGGTGAACTCGCGTCTTTGGCAAGAGTCAGCCGAGAGGTTGGCATCGGTTTTGAATGATGATCAGTTTTATTCACTGAAAGGGAAAACGAAGCACACACTGTGGCTTGAATTGTGCGATTTGCTCACCAGGCATGCTAAAGATGTTTCTGGGATCAATGTCGATGCAATAATCAGAGGTGGGATTAGGAAGTATACAAATGAAATTGGCAGATTATGGACATCTCTAGCGGATTATTATATTAGAAGGGCCTTGTTTGACAAGGCAAGGGACATTTTCGAGGAGGGTATGACCACTGTAATCACTGTGAGGGATTTCAGTGTGATATTTGATGCGTATGCTGAGTTTGAGCAAGGCATGGCTGATCATAAAATTGAAAATTTGAACTCTAGCGATGATGAGGAAGAAGACGGTCTGGAGGAGATTGATTTGGAAGTGGACGTTCGGCTGGAAGTCAAGTTAAAAAATTTCGAGAAGAAGTTACTCTCTGGTTTTTGGTTTAATGATGATAAGGATGTGGATCTGATGCTGGCAAGGTTTGACTATCTAATGGAAAGAAGGCCTGAATTGGCTAATAGTGTTCTCTTGAGGCAAAATCCCCACAATGTGGAACAATGGCACCGGAGGGTGAAGCTCTTTGATGGTAATCCCGAGAAGCAGGTATTGACATATACTGAGGCTGTAAGAACTGTTGATCCGATGAAAGCAGTTGGAAAGCCTCATACTCTTTGGATTGCTTTCGCTAAGCTGTATGAGAAGCATAATGATCTTGTCAATGCGAGAGTGATTTTTGATAAGGCAGCGCAGGTAAATTATAAGACTGTTGATAATTTGGCTAGTGTGTGGTGTGAGTGGGCAGAGATGGAAATCAGACACAAAAATTTCAAAGCTGCTTTGGAGCTTCTAAGGCGGGCGACAGCGGAGCCATCAGTTGAGGTCAAACGAAGAGTGGCTGCTGATGGGAATGAACCAGTCCAGATGAAGTTGCACAAGTCCTTGAGACTCTGGACCTTCTATGTTGACCTAGAGGAGGGTCTTGGTACACTAGAGTCGACTCGTGCTGTTTATGAGCGAATATTGGACCTAAGAATAGCTACTCCGCAAATAATAATAAATTATGCATTCCTTCTGGAGGGAAATAGGTATTTTGAAGACGCATTCAAGGTGTATGAGAGAGGAGTCAAAATATTCAAGTACCCACATGTGAAGGACATATGGGTGACATATCTTTCAAAGTTTGTGAAGAGATATGGCAGGACAAAGCTGGAACGAGCTAGAGAATTGTTTGAACATGCCATCGAGATGACTCCTGCAGACTCTGTTAAACCATTGTATCTACAGTATGCAAAGCTGGAAGAGGATTATGGCTTGGCGAAGCGAGCTATGAAGGTCTATGATCAAGCCACCAAGGGTGTTCCAAATAGTGAGAAATTGGGCATGTATGAAATTTACATTGCCCGAGCTGCTGAGATATTTGGTGTCCCGAAAACAAGAGAGATATATGAACAAGCAATTGAGTCTGGTCTCCCGGACAAAGATGTTAAGAAAATGTGTCTCAAGTATGCAGAGCTAGAGAAGAACTTGGGAGAAATAGATCGGGCACGAGGGATATATGGATTTGCTTCTCAGTTTGCTGATCCAAGATCTGATCAAGATTTCTGGACTAAGTGGCATCAGTTTGAGGTTCTCCATGGAAATGAGGATACCTTCCGTGAAATGTTGCGGATTAAACGTACTGTTTCTGCTAGCTATAGCCAGGTATGTTTGCTTATCCTCTCTATTTCATGTTCCATGCATAGTTCACTGCAAATACTCTGTACGTACACAATGCGAATCAAGTCTATTTACTGCGAATTGAGATTGTATGAATGGTTACCATGCCAACTCCGTTATTTATTTATTATCAGAAGCTTGTTTTTTTTTACCTTGGTAGGCAAACAAAGTAAAATAGTCACCTACATTGGAGATATGATTCCTTTCAGGACGTGGACTGTGATAATAATGTAACTGTTAGTAATCAAACCTTCGTCTTCTGTTTCATGTGCAATTGGAACTGGTGAGTCTATGTTCATGATTGATAGAACTTCCAAGTGGCCTAAAATGATGAATGAAAACTGAATACGGGGAAGGAGCGTGGCAATCGCAGTTATTAGTATATATCTTTATGCTGCAGTTTTTGTTCTGGTTTCATAGCATTCTATGTGTTGTAGTATCCTGGATTGTGTATGCCTCTTAAACTTGTGGCATTTGTTGGCAATTTTCCGCCAGTGCATTGAGCTATGTACTACTGATGGTTTTGTGTGTATTGTTGTCAAACAATCTAACATGTTAAATTACTCATCTTTATGTTTTTTATTTTACTTTAGAATTTGTTTGGATGATTTTTTTTATTATGAACTTTGTTCTTACGTTTTTTTTGTCTTTGGTACTGCTGCAGACACACTTTATTCTACCAGAATATATGATGCAGAAGGATCAAAAGATGAGCATCGATGATGCCAAGGACAAGTTGAAACAAGCTGGGCTACCGGAGGATGAAATGGCTGCTCTTGAAAAGCAACTAGCACCAATTAGCACCCCTGAGAATGGCAAAGATAGCAACAACAGGACAACACTTGGGTTTGTAAGCGCAGGAGTGCAGACACAGACGGACGCAGGGCTGAAGGTCACCAGGAACCAAGAAGACATTGAACTTCCCGACGAAAGTGACTCAGATGGTGATGTTGAGACCCTCGAAATTGCACAAAAGGATGTCCCCTCCGAGGTCTTTGGTGGATTGGTTAGAAAGAGGGATGATGCAGAGAAAGCCAGCGGCGATGAAGGCCATGATGCTCCTACTGCACTTGGTGCTCTTGAGAGGATAAAACGGCTTAAAAGAGACGGGCTAAATGCCTAAATCACTAGTAAGCCAATTTGTATTCAAGATTTCCTACCCCGAGTTTGCTGCCTAACTTGTTGATTGCTTTTATCCTAAGATAGATAGTTGTAACTTGTCCACTCTAGGCCTGTACTACTACACAGCTGAAATCCAGTTTAGTCGGGCATATTCTCCTCAGTGGTTGATAGTGTTTCCGTTGCTGTTGTTTTCCTTCCATCTCCTTTCACTAAATGCAATTTCGCAATCTGAAGTCACTTGATATGTGGATACAAAGTGAGATAGTTTCTGTGGTATATGTTATTCTGTCTGTCTAAAGTGTTGTTATCTATAGTTTTGCCTGACAAGAGCCCAGTCACTTTATTATCAGATGCTGGAGCCGTTCGGAGGCTGGAAGCATCGAGTGAAGATGGAAAGAACATACCACTCAGTACCCGTGTTCTCGATCGAATCAATCAATCAATCAATCCTCCATAGGCGCGGCAGAATCAGGCGTATGAGCCCTAACAGGAGCATGTCATGGATTGTTTAGGTTGCTGGTCGTCCAGGAGCATCAGCAGCCTGCCTCTCATTTCTTGGCTTTTGGTTTCTTTATTTCGCACTGCCTCCAGAAAGTGTCCAATGGAGAAGAAAACGAGTTGTTAGGTTCTAGTTCTAGCTCGGCACAGGGAAACCATGCACTTGGCATCCTTCCACCCAGTCAATTGACTATCAGCAGCCGGTTGGGTGTTGGAGTTGCTGCCACACTCCAGTTCAGATTTGAGAATATGCTTTCCTCCTATGCTGTTGTTGCACTTAATTATATATATGGTGGTTCGTTCAACTATCATTTTCATCCTTCTCTAAAGCTAAAGCTGTGGCGAAAACGACATTGTCTGTCTCCCTCTTCAAATAGTGGCATTTGGCAGGGACAAAATGGTGTTGTTGTTATTGGAGAAGTAGCACAAGAACGACGAGACAACAACGTGTATATACTTTATGCATATGTACTAGTATAGTTTGGAAAATGACTTGTGCCGTGACTCTGTAAGATACATGTAATGCTACTTCCACCTTGGCTGTGTAGACTTGTAAAATTGATGTTTTGATTCTCGAGTCCAAATGTCTTTTTTGTTCTGTTTTGAGTTTTGACTTTACAGCTTGTAGCTAGAAGGGTACAGATTTGGGGTCAAATTCAGAGAGAAGAGAAGATAAAGACTGAGTCCCAACTTCCAGAGATTGATTTATTTAGCATTAGATGAGATCCACCTGAAACACAAGAAACTGAAATAACAAGGAAGGGGGCCGGCCGTCAGCCCATCTAGAAAAGTTAGTTAACCCAAATATCTCCTTACCTTGTTTTTTGCTTATTAATTTTTTTTTTCTAGAAGAAGAGAATAAGTAGTCCTATTTTGAATAATTTTACTTCTGTTTTAGTTATAGGTGAAATTTGAGAGAAAAAAAAAAAAGAAGTTTAGTTTAGTTCTGTTTTATTTATTTATTTATTTGATAACCCAGGGAACCTCAGCCCCACGTGCCGCTTGAGCGACAGCGGGGTCTACTAAACTACTGAGGGTACCTGTATACTAATTGGGGCTTTCTGCTACCAACATCGGGGAGGCTTCGTCTCCGATACCAAAGGTGCCGCCGGGAACGCTCAAGTGGTGCCACTGGGAATCAAACTCAGGACCTCCCACATCCAAAGCTCAATTGGTCCAGTGGTTTCACCACTAGGCTATGTTTAGTTATGTTCTTATATCATAAAAAGTTTATTTACTGACTTAACATATAAGAAAAGTTAATAATATGATATTCTGTGTTGAACACATGAATTAATCATTTCATATCGTAAAAAAATTACTTACTGACTTAACATCGGCCAATTTTTTTCCTCCTGAACCACTAACACGGTATGGTTTCACAAACACCGAACAGAATCCTAGAGGAGGGTGTTTAGAAGTAGGGATGGCAATGGGGCGGGTTTGCCTAAACCATCCCCATCTTCATTTTCAAATATCCAAACCCATACCCGCCCCATACCCCATGTGGGGGAGTATTTTGCAAACCCATCCCCATACTCGTGGATTTCGGGTACCCATGGGTAATATCCGTACCCGTACATCCAACATTATTATATCTAAAACTTAGAATTTTTTTTTAATTATAACACCAAACAAATCTATTATATCATGAAGTCAATAAAACACAGTCATTTTCTTAATACGGTTCAAAAATATAATCCTAAAATATCCATTAATACATAATATAGAGTACAATATTTTCCAAATTATTATGCTCTAACTCTGATACATCTACTAAGTAATAGTTAACTAACATAATCTTGTTGACAAGGGGAAAAGTGAAAGAGTGAAGGGAGAATTGAGAAAAATGAATTTGGTTTTGATTAGTGTCGTCACTCAATAGCATTTCTTCTGTTTATTTTTTTGAGTTATCCTCATTATCATTGATAGATTACAATTTGATTCACATATTTTTATATATGTGAATAATTTCTCTTTGTGGAGCGGGTATGAGTATAGGTATGGGGCGGGGAGGCTAAAACCATTAGGGGCTGGCTATTTGGTCCGGGTTTTTTGGTTTTACGCGAAACCAGACCGGATAGTAAACAACCCAATCCAATATTTGGGCTTAGATTTGAGGTAAAAAACCGTTTTGGACCGAATCGAAAACTGGATAAGAGAGCTCAACGCCCAAAACTTAAGGGTAATTTGCATAAACGGTCACAAATCTTTGTACTTAGTACAAAACTTAACCAACTCCTCACCTTTTCAGGCCTTAGGACACTCAAATTCCCACAAGCTCAATTTAAAATCAAGACCGAATTGGGACCAGACCGGGTCAAGACCTGACTGTATCCAATCCAATCTTTGGTCCTTATATTTTCAAAAAGACCGGACCGGACTGGATCAATTTGGGCCAATTTAACCGGACCGTATAGCCAACCCTAAAAACCATACCCCATACCTATCAAATTTTTTGCCGGTTTTATTTTAGCCATATCCATCCCATACTAAATCAAAGTGGAGATTCCCCGCATTAACTGAGTCGGGAGTGATCTGGTACCCGCAATTATGAGTTTGATTGTCATTCCTATCTAGAAGGCGATTGATTGGATCATACTAATACTAAAATTCTAGTAACACTTCTCTCTCCGGCCAGAAAGTCGCTTAAAGTCGAACATAAAAGTCCAAAACTCTCTGTCCCCTTCTGCTTCAGCTAACCAGCTCCATATATATGTATAAATAAAATCCCCAATAAACAGAATCGAAACCTCCATCACAATTCACAACAAACCAGCCATCTCTCTTACTCTGTTTTGCAAATCCACAAAGAAAAATGGACGCCTCCTCGTTTCCCATAATCCCACTGCTACTTCCTTTTCCTCACCGCCACATCACGGACACTACCACTGCAACTCATAGCCCGGCTGCCCATGATGAAGAACAAGACGATGAAGACATCCTTTCCCTGTGCGATCTTCCTCTCCACAACAGCAGCAGCAACAACATTAATCAGCAGAACCATCTTGCAGCGGCGTCTCCTGCTCTTGATGCTGATGATGAGGAGGAAGATGGGTTCGAGTTCTCGAGGGAGTACTCATTCACAGCCGATCAATCCCTTGATGCCACCACCACCAAAAACAGAGACAACGATTTGAATAATAGCATCGTCTTCTGCGGGAAGCTCATTGCTCACAGACAATTAGCAGTCCAACAGCAGGACAAGGTTAAATTGATGAATGTTAATGAGAAGAAGAGGAAGAAGGAAGAGGGTAAGAAGCAGAGCAAGAAGAAACAGAGTAGCAGCAGCAGAGGCAGGATTTTCCCCTGGAAATCGTTCTCCTCCTCCTCGTCCTCTTCCTCGTCCAATTCATCATCATCATCAGCGTCTTCGTCGCCGGGTAGGAAGAAGAAGAAGAAGGGCACTGGGGCTGGGAGGTGGAGCGCAAGAGGGTATTTGTGTTTGGCGATTGGGGTGGAGTGGAAGTTGCCGGTGAGGAGTATGGATCTCAAGGACATTAAGCTGAGGCAGAGCCGCCGGAGTTCTTCTACCAGCCTTGATTTTGATGTTTCAACATCATCGTCGTCATCGTCTTCCATGCTGCCGGAGAATACATCCGCCGTCGGTAGTAAATCTGGAAAGGGGTTATGGTGTTTGCTCAGGGTTTTGGCCGGCGCTCGCCCTTAATTGATTAGTTTACTTACCTTGCAGCTATCATTTCCTCCATTTCCTTCTGTTTCAGGACAGATTTTTTTCCTGCTTAGAAATTCTCAGTTACTGTTCTGTTTAGCGGGGTAATTAGTTTGTAAATTACTAATGAAGAGCTTTTGTATGAGTAATCATCATAATCTTGAATCCAAAGAGTGCTTATTGATCTTCTCTTAGGTAGCTTGTACATATGGCCGTAGCAATGGCAAATGAGACGGGTTTAGGCTGGATTTTGCTATATTTATTTCTATCTCATTTTTAATTCGTAAATTCATATCCTTTTTGTCGTGGTATAGGTGAAAGTTTTTTTAATCTCTAATCTCCATCCTCATTTCCGCGGTTTTCTGATACTCGTAGATAACTAGGGAAGTCATGGATGATTTTAGAGGTATAATGTCGTACATAGATTATGTATCGTAATGAACCACAAAAAGTACGAGAAACATAACAAAATCCTTTTTTTAGGAAAAATCAGGGATAAAAGATGACATACATGTGTTAATGAAATTGAAAAAAAAAGTGAAATGAAGGTTTTTAGCATTGCAATATTGTAAAATTTTAGTGAAAGATGGATGAGAGAAAGATCGTATAACAAGTAATTGGACGTAGGTAGTATATGTATTACATGCGTGGCGATTATGGTGATGGGACGGAAACACTTCAACCCATCTCGACTCATCCCCGTCACTTTTTGGGTGAGTACTATCCATATTATCAACCCTAAAACTTATCAATACGAGAACTTTTCCTCACTGACAGGATCAAAATCGAGAAGAGTCGGATACCCACGGTCCAATTGCAATCCTCAATTGTCATCATGCATGTTAGTTGATGGCATGGCAATGCCATGTTTCTCTATTTCCCAGCTAATTACTTACTCATGTTAATCATGATTGCCCCACTAAGCATTCTATAATGATATCTCTCTCTCTGATGCAATCCCGATTCCCCAGCTATACAAATGAAGTCCAGTTCCTCGTGATCGAATCCGAATCACCAACCTTTCTTTGTTCTAAGCTTTGTTTTAACATAATGCAATCGTAAATCGTAACCACCTAATGCATTAATGCCATATTATATTACCAAACAAAATCAAGAACGTGATTTATAGTGAATGTTCCATGCATTTTGGTTGATCTAATATAGTATTATGAAACCCCAACGTGGTCACTACGCCTATGTGTATTAAGTTAACAACAAAAAAATGTACATACATTCTTGATAAATGCTTCTTCATTCAATTGAACTTTGCATATGCAATCATTATAATAATCACAATTACGTCTATAATAATATTTGACGGTAAATGGGATCTCAATGTCACATTAATTAATCGCCAATATTGTTTAATTTGAATACAAAAATATGTTAATTTAATGTTTTTTTTTTCCTCCGCTAATCAATTATTAAAATGCAGTTGATATATCACATGAATCATGGTGGTTTGGTTAACCCTACTGTTTACAAAAGGAAAATGTGACCTATATATATGAGGACTGATTAGTTTCGGGCCAGGTCAAGGAAGCAGTAGTAGTCAAAATACGGTGTCGTGTCGTCAGCTTATCTTCCTTCCTTCCGTCGCCGTTTGTCGCGTTTTCTAGACGAGGAGGAGGAAGTCCAAAGTTGGAGGAGACAGTTGGACCCAGAAAAATGGATCAGGGAGTAGTCCACTGGATCCACCAAATCACAACGAAGATCTCTGTTTGGGCTCAAAGCCTCTAGAATCTAGATAGCATAACACACGCAATTTTGAGCTCACGAATGACGCACCTACGTCGTGTTCGATTCGATTCGATCTGTTGCAATCTTTGATTTGAATCCGGCGGTACAGACCAGATCATTGCACATCTCTGAGTCGCTGATTCATTAGTACCATTTGGATCCGAGGCTTGTGCCATCTCCCAGCCAGGCGTGAAATCACTCCCTTAGACTTGGTGCCACATTACACCTTGGCTCCTTGGCGAATTTGGCCTCCTATCACATTTATTAGAGATGTTGATGCGGTAGATTTCACATGTGTGGCGAGGCTCTCGTGCCACCTCTTAGCATGACATCATTTCACTTTTTAGGAATGACAAGACTTGGAATGTGAACGGTTATTATAACGTCTTTGGATTCACACCTACTCATTGAACAAAAAAATTTGTTACGAAACAAGCCATTTCAGCGATTCGACAATTTCTTTGGACTCATACCAAAACTTCCTATTTTTAGAATTGCAGTTGTTTAAGAAAAGTAGCAAATTGGAGGAATAACATAATAATAATATACATCTAATACATTTCACAAGAAAAGTAGCAAATTGGAGGAATAGAATGCAGGCAATTTTATTTTAAACAAGATGAATCGTCCAAAGCTATACCTACCTTGGAATACAAGTCCAACCTACTTTGTCTTGTTCTAGAACAAATTACAAACAGCTGTTGTTCTAGAACTCAAATTGATGTTAGATTCTTTGTTAAGATTGATTAAGCCAAGTAATTACAAGGACGGCTGAGTTAAAAACAATCTTTCCCTCCCATTGTCGTGATTCTCAAAGCAACACTCATAATTACAAAAAACACTCTCCATCCATTGTTGCTCTAATCTACTACTCTTGCTCTCACTAATCGAAGAACAAAGCAAAAGAGTATGGATTAATAAAGAAAGTGGGTTTTACTATATATTTCGAGTTACTGGGACTTGACATGATATCAGAATCTGGTTTCTCCAAATGATTATGTGTCCAAATTTTCAATATCACCAATATTAATAGTTTAATGAAACACAAAATATAATGACAAGTGCAAACTTCAAACCCGTAATTCGACTTTCATTTGAGGATACATATAAAAGAGTGATATAAGATCCATCAGTGGCGGAGGGAGAGGGTAACCGGGACCCACCCTAGTTCGGGAGGAAAATGGTTGAATTAGGTACGATAATTAATTGATATCGAAAATTAAGTCACATTTAATTGATAATAGTAGTTTTGTGTTTGAATCTAATACAGTATACATATTTGTGCAAACTTCAATTTTGTATAAGTTGATTTTCTTATGAGGGAGCTTGCTAGTAAATGGTATCATATATATTATTGAATCTCTTCCAACAACTCAATTTGTTGATACTAAATGGTTTTTTTTTACAAAGAACATTATTCGAAAGCTAAATCATGAATTATTGATTGGTGTAAGATTTATTATTAAACCTCTATCAACAACTCGATTTATTGATACTAACAGTTCTTGACAAAGAACACCATTTGAAACAGTAAGAGTGTACGACTAACTAAATCAATAATTGTTTGGTACGCATAATGATATTCTTGATAGTCATTACTACTAATGCATTTTAATTTACCAAAAATTTTCAATTTTGAAATTATATTAATAAAAACTATTTTATCATGTGTACATTTTTCTAGGTGGACCAACATTACACGAAATTCTGTCTACGCCACTGAAATTCATAATAACATTTTCTCCCTACAACTCGAGTAATCAAACAACATACTATCCCACTCAAACATACACATCAAAGAGCACATTTGTCATCCATGAGCAGTAACCGTCATCTAGAAGGGAATGCTTTTCCACCTCAATCATCTAATCCAAGAAACAAACAAACAGACAATGAAGGAAGCAAGCAAAAGATCCATACCAGTCAACTGTCCTTGTTTCCTTCCAAACTCTTTCGATTCCCTCCTCCACCTCCCCTTTTTAACTGCATTTCTAAGGGGGATTTTGTTGTCTCACCTCTTCTGTGTTTTTGTTCTTACATACTAGACTCACATCAACCCAAGAGTTAAATGGCAGCTGTGGAAGAGATTGGGACTGTGAACCTTCTTCATCAACCTTCTGCATATGATTCAGAAGAGGAGGAAGAAACCCTTTCGCTACGCGACCTCCCCTTAACCACAGCCAGCAGCAGCAGCAGCAGAAATATTGCTTGGGATGAAAGTCATCATGATCATGACCATGAACAAGATGTGTTTGAGTTCTTCAATCCTTCTTCCTCCACTTGCCATGATGAAGAAAACCAGGACAAGGGAAGCATCATGTTCTGTGGGAAGATCATCCCACACAGGAAACCTCATCAGGGGAACAACAACAGCACAGACGAAACGAGCACGATTGTTAACAGTAAGAACAACTTCAATAGGCGGAGATCATCGTCCCACAATGAACCTAGACCGGCGGAGTATTATTCCAGGCAACAGCAAGTGAAAAGGTTATGGTCATTACCACTGCCACGATCACCAGTGCCATCAGCAGCCAGAGTGTCGACGAAATCGAGGTGGTATGTGCTTGCATTTGGAGCGGTGAAGGTTCCAGCGAAGATGGAGCTTGATGACATGAAGTTGAGGCAGAGCAGGAAGATGAGCAGCAGTACGAAGTCCGACGGTGATGGAAGGAATCGAGAAGTGGTGAAGAAGGTCGATGGGAGTAGGAACAGGAAGAGCTCGTGGCCGGGGTTGCTTGGGGTTTTGGGCTGCAGTGGAGAAGAAGGCAGTAGGGCTATGGTTAAATCCTCATTTGTCTGCATGCCGTTACCGACTGTGTGAGTTCTTGTTAACTAGAAAAGTAGGCTTGATGATGATAATGAGTTCTGTGACTGAACAGCAGAAGGAGCAATCTTCCCCAGAGAGAGATTTCGGGTGCAGTTCATGCTGTTTAATCCTTCTGTGAGAGACTGAGATCCCAGAATGAAGAAAGCCGTCGTACGTCTACTGATCAATATGAAGACTGCAATTTTCTTCTGCAGTGGCTTGAATGTTGCACCTTTTGCTTCTCTCATACCTTAAATAGCTATAGATTTACAACATTCACTTAATTTCCACCATTTTCTCCCTACAACTAGTATTGACTATTGAATATTGATAACACAATGCAATCAAATGCACATTCCTTTTTTGCCCGTAGAAGCTAAAAACGCCCTCTTTGTTCCTTGCATATGAATTATGATCAGTCATGTCTATGTCAGTGTGAAAGAATGTATAGCCAAAATAGGTCATTCGACCCGATTAACTGCTCATATAAATACGATCAAAATTCAAAACTGCAAATGCATAGGTCACTGAAATTTTCGGAGCCCAAGAATTTGCTATAGGATGCTTCCTGTATAAATAACAAAACTGGATTCTCAAGCATCATACAGTAAGCCTCACAGGAACTTCCTATTCTTCACCTATTTCCATTTCTTTAGCTGCATTGATAATGCCATTTGGAGGTCGTTGCTTCTTTCCTTTCGCCTTCTTCGGCTCCGGAGAGCTGCAGAACAATTTACAGCTTGATCAACGAAAATAATACGCAGCATGGTTTCAGGAAAGCAATTCAAACTCCTAAATGCACAAACAAGCTTTGAATTTCCAGACAGCAAGTATAAGCAAACTTGGAATAATAGGCCTATTCAGTAGTATATTACAGCGCTATACATTTAAGCTATACATTACAGCGCCATGATGAGCCACAGACCAACAATTTAAACATAGCTACTGAGATGGAGGCGCACACCTTAAGTTTTTACTCAGAAGCAGATCCCTAGAAGCTGCCTTTTCTAAGAGACTCTTGTAGTACTGAATAAATGGAAGATTGCCACTTGAACTTTCCATCTGCAACATTAACATGCACAAGAGAAGTGATCATTAGATTTCACCACCCAAGGAATGCAGTTCAATCTATGGATGCATGAAGGTGCAAAAGCTAACTACCTGAAGAAATGACGCCACTAATTGCTCGTCTTTAGGCGAGAAAGCAACTTCATCTCTCTTCTTGCGGACAAACTCGACATTCTGCTCCACCTGAAATGTTGGACAAAACATGGTTCAAATAAGCAGATAACAATTGTGAACCATCAGGCTAGAGCCAGACTACAGAAGCTAAAGAAACCCCTCCCATGTACTTGGGAGGATCAACACTTTAACCATCAAAGAGAACTGCAACCATAAACTATGTCACCCGTGCCACATTACTTAAATATTTAACCTTCTTGCTTTACCTATTTTACATTCCTTATCTTCTAGGTCAGATAAGGGCAAATTTTATAAAATATGTATAATGTATGTTTAACCCTAATGCATTACGAGGCAGAATTTCTTTAATTACTCCTCTGAGCTTTCACATGCAACCACAAAAAGACCGTAGAGGTAAGGACTCAATGTCTTGAGTTTCACAAGCCATGGGCATCCACTTGTCATCAAAGTTTGTGTGTACTGGGAAGGAGCTTGGCTTTGTTATGTATGTGACAAGACCGTGCGTGCCCAAACAGCATAAATGCCTAACACAAGCCTCTTCTACTTTACAGTCTTATTTCACATATAAATTAGTGCAAGGGAATTTTTCACTAGGAATTTTTGGAGGACTTTGAAGTAATTATGTAAATGCCATCAGTAGGTCCATACCTGATCAATAAAACGTTTCACCAATCGCCGGGAACTCTCAATGCTTGTCCTATCATGGAATTTCTTCAAATGGATCAACGGAATAGTAGCCAGCTCAGGAAAAGATATGTGGTAGCCCCACTGAGCAAAGTGCACCGCAAGCAGTTCAAGGGCAGAAAAAACACATGCTTCCAGGAAGTTTCGAGATTTCATCCAGTGTTTTGGCAACTGCATCATAAATTCCAAGACACCCACACATGGAAGTTACAGAAAAGAACAAAGCCAACACAGAGATAGCGGGTCTATGACAAGTATGAAGTTAAACAAAGCACATTCGGGAAAGACAAATGCAGATTGAACAATGTTGAGAACACGAAACCTCATATCACGGCATAACAATTTGAGAATTTCTACAGAACATTTCTAACCTTTACATCAGATGACAAGGTGAAATCCTTTCCAGCTTTCTGGCCTTCTTTTTCAATTTTATATTCCAAAACATCTAGTGCCAATGATGTAACAGGGATGAATGTACCACATGAACTGGACAGAAGATTCAACCATTGAACAGTTTTAACTCTCAAAGGCAAGTATCTTGGTCCCGGGAAAAGCACTGCTACTCCATTTATGATCTGAATCATGGTATGAAGCAGTGGCAGGAGATTGTAATCGTGTATATTGACTGATATGAACTCAACCCATAGATCAATGCAGTTGACATACTGCCAGCTGCATATTCTCTTTACTGCTTCCTGCATACAAGAAACAAATGACAAGGGATGATTCACAACATTTCCCAGTAATAATGCATCTGTCAATCAAAATAAGCTACACCAGCAAGGACTAAAGGATAAATTAAGTCGTCAGAGAAGGCATGTACCTTCTGCTTAGTTTGTAAACCAAGCTGCAAAATCTTAGCAAGTTGTCTGATTGAAATAATTGCCTTCCTCAATGATTTCTGCATATCTTGAGAACACAACTCAATGAAGGACTTCTTAAGAAACTGAAGGTGCCCGAAGAAGGCTGGATCGACAAATTTGCAGTGCCCAATTATGGTCTTGTACGCCTTGTCAAAGCATGTGTCGAACAAATCCGAGTTAAACACACCAGCCACATTTTGCATGACGAGGAACGATTCCACTGACAGAGCCCCTTTACTTGTTGTCCAAAGATGAATAGATATCTAAAATGAAATCAAGCTCCTCATTAGGTATGAGCTCCAAAAGCATGAAACCAGTGGAACAAACTAGCTACGGTAAATTATCCACCTATTAGATATCAGCAAGACAAGAAACGTCTGGTATATCCAGGGAAGAGAAGAGGGAATAATAATAACAAAATGATATCATGCTTAAGGTGGCCAAGTAAGACACCTGCTACATACAAAAGGACAATGTCTACTCTAACATCATAGTTTATGGCCTTCTTCTAGTTTTTACATATAAATTACCATACCTTGATCAGTCTCTGCAGTAATGATGGGAAAGCAGCAAAAAAGATAATAGAAGCCCTCAGTCGCTTGAGCACAAAAGTTAATATCTCTGAGTCTGTAACCTCGTTCAAAAGAAACATGGTACTTCTCAAGTACAACTTAATGAGAGGCTTCACTTTTTTCCATGTCGCTGTATTTCTTAGTTCCAAAATGACCTTCTTTTCAGAGGAACTTGAAACTCCCAAAATTTTCCGGAATACGTCGTTGGCCTCCTGAAGCACAAATATCATAATCTTGGCAAGACTTCCTGCGCCTCTGAGAACACCAAATGATTTAGTTCCATAATGACTTCCCGCTCTATAAGCATTTAAAAGCCTTACAAGGGAAGGCACATCCTGCTGGTCCTTGACAAGTTGACACAACGAATCAACAGTAGAACTACTTAATAACTTGCCAATTCCTAATATTGCCCCATCCTCATCAATCAAATGCCTGCTATCATCATCACTTTCATCTGCATCTGAAGACTGCTGCAACAAACGAATGGATAAGATTCATCAAATCAGAAACACGACAATAACTATACAAATACAAACATTCCCCAGGTAATGCACAGTAACAACAATATCAAGTTGTGCATTTTACAGAATAAAAAACTTAGGTTCGTTGTACAAAACTAGTACCACCCCCGAACACACACACACAGATAAAAAGAAACCTCATGTCAAACAATCCCCCATGACAACAAGATCCCACGCATCCGAATATAGATATAGGCATTCATGTCATTTGCAAGAAAGGGACAAAAACACTCAACACCTGAGACAGATATCTTACATTATCTTCTTTTGTGGAGCAAATACCACTTTTCATGCTCTCAAGATATTTGACAAATCCTGGATCCTGAAAACATCCGAATCAAGAAAGTAAGAAAAGTTATAAATTGTCATTTTTAGATAACGAAACATTAAAAGGAATTGCAGAATCTAGCAGTCTAGAAATCAGATGATAAATCAAGAAACCGATGCAAAATATAAAAATACATCATATAATGAAGACAATACTACCTTTCCTTTCAATCTGTCCAATTTTTTCTTCTGCTTTGCTAGCTCCTTAAAGACAATTCTATTCTTCACAGATGCACCGGTATCCCCACCACTGTCTGGAGAACAATTACTAAGAAATTAAGAACAAGTAGTGGAAAGGCTTAACAGCACTAAGTAGATCAAGTTGTTAAAATGTCATCAAATCCGAATGCAACAATGTCTTCACCTTCAAGGTTACTCTCCGTTTTTGTTTCATCCATGTCCGTACAGCCTGCCTCCTGATCCATTCAACAAGTAACGGAAAAGGCTTAACAGCATAAGTAAAGTGCACAAACAAACAAATCCATTTGACGAAACTATTGTGGCGAGGCACATTTTCAAACCTCGGATAAATACCCATCGCTCCCAGAATCGTCTCCAGTCACATCACTATCATGTTCATTGAACATTGCATCAAAAGACAGAGCTCCAACATCCTCAACTTGAATGCTTCTGATAACAACGGTGAGTTCCAGAAGGGTGAGCGAAAATTAATAAGCCCACATCAGTTATAAAAACTAATGTATGCAGCCTTCCAAAGGACTTAAATCAACACTACTACGCACCAACACAGGAAAGTAGCGAACACAATACGATACATCAAGAACTTGATAACATTTTAAAATGACAACCGTCAACAGCATCAATTCTCATATGACTTTTTATCCTTTTACCTGTCATTAGTCTGTTGTATACTGTCTTCTTCTACAACTTCATCCCCACGACCCCCTTCTACAAAACCATATTGCTTCCAAAGTTCAGGCTCAAATGTAAGTGCAACAAGGAAAAGTACAAGCACTCAAGAAACAAACATACAGAACTTTGCTAAAGCAGTGAGGGAAAGTTTCAAACTTCCCATGCAAATACAGACTGTTACTTACTTTTCGTAGCTCTTTTCTTGAACACAGACTTCTGCTTCCTCTGCCTCTTCATCACTGACTGAAGATTCTTCTTGGCGAACTTCCTCGCCTTCTTTCCCAGCTTCCCCATCTTGCAGCGACTAGGTAGTTCCCCCTGAAAGACCAAACCAAATACATCAAAACAGGATTCCCGTTGAGCGCAAACCGAAGCTGGAGTTGAACGGTTGGACAGGCTCGAACCTAGATAACTATATCGTTTGTTTCGATTCAATTTCTTGCTGCTGCAGGGCTTCCGAGGAAGAGAGGCAGAAATGTAGGCGCAAAACCAATTGAATTTTTGCGGAATTATTTCGAGGGCTGGCTGGCCGGACGTAAAACCTTGCCATCAAACTAGGGCTTTTGGAGGACTAAATTAGATATTTGCACAGACTAAATTTTTATAAAAAATAAAACATGTAAATATCAAACAGAAATGGGTATTTGGTCTAGTGGTATGATTCTCGCTTAGGGTGCGAGAGGTCCCGAGTTCAATTCTCGGAATGCCCCTTTTTTTTAACTCTGTCTATTAGCTTTTTTTTACTAACATACCAATTCGCGGGCCTTGTTCTGCCCGTGAACCTCCTAGCTGGACTGGATATAAATTTTGAATTGGGCCAGTACTTCTGGCCCAATTTTAAACAATTCCCTGCAAATTTAGCCCATATTTGTCGAACACAGGAAAACCCACCGACCAGACTGACATTCGCCGGAGACGGGGAAAAAGAAGGAAACCCTTCTCCTCGCCGACAAAATCAAAATTCAGCGCTTCTTTCCGCTCCTCCGACTTGAGAACCTACCGCCAGGCTTCAATTCACCTCCACCGCTACGGCGGGCGACGGCAGCCCGACTAAGCTGGTAAGTTCCTGTTCCATTCTCCTCGTCCTCGACACTAGGAAAAGCTGATTGGAAGTTGATAAATAATGAGCTCGTCCTTAGCTAGGTTTTCCAACTTTGAAACGCTCGTCAATTAGGAGACCGACCATGGCTGCAATTCTTCTACCGGGGAAGTTTTAAAAGAGAATGGTGTGTCTGAAAGAGGCTCCACGTATTTGAAAGTTCTTCAATTTGATTTTGGTGGTCAGTCCCTTTGTTTCGATTGTTTCATTTCAGAAGTTGTATCCTTCCCTCTTTCAAATTCGCAGCATTGCGTTCAGGGTCACTCCCTACTGAGTCAAGTTTCTCTTCTTGGATACTGGTTCTGCCGTTCTTGGATTGTTCAACTTCTTTCGCATACCTGTGATTGCTAGTGGGAGTTGACTTGGTTGATTCTTCAGAAGGACTGAACGAGAGAGGACAGTGATTGCTTAGGCTCAAAGTTGTACATGTAAATTATTTGTCAATAGCCGAGTTGTGGCATATCCCAAATTTCTCGTTGAAGTTAGGTTTTCAGGTGTATGGTTCTATCAGATACGTATTGCTCTGAAGAGGCGCATTGGATTCCTGTTGGTTCTGTTTCAGCAATAATGATTTACACCGCTATAGACAACTTCTACCTTACGGAAGAGCAGCTACAGAACTCTCCATCGAGGAAGGACGGAATCGATGAAGATACTGAAACTTCCATTAGAAGATATGGCTGTGATCTCGTACAAGAAAGTGGCATTTTGCTCAGGCTGTATCCTTTGTTTCTTTCTTCCTCTTATAGCGACATTATGACTAGCCTGTTCCCTGTTCCGAGGTGCGGAACGAAATTGATTGTGCAGCATATGAGCTCTCTTTTTTCCTTAAATGTTTTTATTTCAGACCTCAAGCTGTGATGGCGACTGGACAGGTTCTATTCCATCGCTTCTACTGCAAGAAATCATTTGCTAAGTTCAATGTCAAGGTTTGTTCCAATCTTTACCCCTGATCTAGACAGTCTTTTGTGTATTTGGTTTATAGGAGCCACATTTTATTTCAATTAGGACTTGTTTTTATCTAGCCATGTAGAGACTACTTGAAATGTGCATATCGGAGAATAATAAGGACGGGAGGTTTGAGTTTAAGTGGTTATCAGAAACATGCTTTACATTCTTCTTCTGATATTATATAATTTTTGTTGTCTTCCAGAAAGTTGCAGCTGGTTCAGTTTGGCTTGCCTCCAAGCTAGAGGAAAGTCCTAGAAGAGCAAGGCAGGTTATCATGGTTTTTCACAGGATGGAATGCCGCAGAGAGAATTTGCCCATTGAGTTTCTGGACATCAATTCTAAGGTTAGAATCATATACCGCAGGTTGCATTATGCCATTTGCTTAAGAGAAACCAGTCCATCCTAACATGCACGTAAAGCTTTGTTCCTGTTTCAACAGAAATATGCTGAACTAAAGGTGGAGTTAAGTAGAACTGAAAGACACATATTGAAGGAGATGGGTTTTGTTTGTCATGTTGAGCATCCACACAAGTTCATATCCAACTATCTTGTCACCCTTGACACACCCCCAGAACTGAGACAAGAGGCATGGAATCTTGCAAATGATAGGTACTGCATGCAGTCTGATCCCATTTTGGTTTGCTTGTTCTGGTTTGAAAGTAATTGGTGATAATAAATGGAGTCTGGGAAAAAAGTGATCATGTGATTTTCAGGCTGGGAATGCCTTAGGCAACACTCCTGAGCAGAGATGAATGTTTTCTTCTCTATATGACTTCTATCAAATGACAATATGACATGCATGTTTAATGATAGAGAAATTCTGATTAGTTTGCTCATCACTAGGGTTTCTTAGTGTGCGTGTGTGTACGTATATTCCTCAATGATTCTTTGTGTTCTTGTTGAGAAGCAGATACTCATTTTTCATTATCTTACGACACCTGCTTTTCGGACAGTTTGCGGACAACCCTGTGTGTTCGTTTTAGGAGTGAAGTTGTAGCTTGTGGTGTAGTGTATGCTGCTGCTCGGAGGTTCCAAGTCCCACTTCCAGAGAATCCACCTTGGTGGAAGGCTTTTGATGCTGATAAATCCGGCATCGATGAAGTTTGCAGAGTGTTAGCTCACCTGTACAGTCTTCCAAAGGCTCAATACATATCAGTCTGTAAGGAAGGCGACTTTTCTTTTTCTAAAAGGGCTATGGATTTGCAGTCACAAACAGCTGCAAAGGTAAATAAAACACTCCCTCTGTTCATTAACTTTTTTTGTTCCATTCTCTTCCGTTTGTTTATACCTTTCTGTAGTTGTAAATTGTAATTATCTGTGCACTCTTCTTGGAACCATCATATAATGCCAGTGATCAGGGCTATATGATCTCATGAGGCTATCTTCCTGCTGTTATTTTGTGCAGGATGCTCCACAAGCTAGCTCACCAGCAAACAACGATGCTTCTTCCAAGGCGACCCCGAGCTTGATCAGTGTTGAAACTGGGGGGTCTAAGGGAACATTGGTGATAAAAGCAGCATTGGACAAGGTGAAGGACTCTAAGAAGGGCGACGATGAATCCAAGAATGAGGACGATGCAACAAGGGAGGTAGCGATTGGGAGATCCAAGTCTGAGCATAGAACAACGGATGGAAGCAGTGATAGAAGCAAGGAGAGAGACAGGGACAGGGAAAGAGAGAGGGAAACGAGAATGAAGGCTGGTGATCGTGACAACAGGGGAAGGGATTCCGATAGGGAAAGAGATCGAGAGGAAAGTGAAAGGGCCAGAGATAAGAGCAAGGACCGAGGAAGGCATCGTTCTAAAGATAGGGGGAAGGATTCAGGTCAGTTCGTGAAAAAGCTTATCCATCTCTATTCATGTCCTTTTTCTTTTCCCTCTTCTCATTCGGACTCTAATCAAATGTTAATTGTGTTCTGACTGATGGGTGTGCACCGTGCAGGAGGATATTCAGATAAATCAAGGCATCCTTCGTCACGTGGTATGTAACTTTTGGGGGGGTGTTTCCTTGATACTCTTTTCTTTCGCTATCTTATAGGCTCGACTGGAGAAATGAACCATTATACATGTTTGTGTTTTGGCAGAACGTGACTATCACAGCTCCTCGTCGTATTCATCAAGGGATAAGGATAGACACAGGCATCACTCGTACGGACGATGATCCCAGGCTGTTGCAACGCAAGTTACGCATCAACTGAAGCTGCTATATCAGTGTTCGAGGTATGCCCTCAGCTATTCACTACAATGTTCCCGTCTGTAGAATAGTGAAAAGGCGAAATTGGATTAGTCGAAACAACGGTCTTTTCCCTCACTTGTGCTCGCTAACTGCGGGGTGTTCTGAGTGTTGTCTTTCTTTCGGGGGTTTCATGCATTCCAATGTCTCTCTGTAACCAGAGTTTTGTGGAATATGGATGACATCATCAACTACATGAGTTGTTCTAAACTCTTTAACAGACTGGATTGGACTTTAAGTCTTTAAAAAGCCTCTTCTTTCTGGAAGGGAGTGAAAAATTAGGGTGTTTTAGGAAGAGGGATATTTATGACTGCCAGTATGAATTGTGGTTTTGTAACTGTTATTTTAGCAAGCACATATTGCAAGAATATATTCAAATGTTAGTCACCTCTGTCAGCAGCGGATGTCCTGATAACTACGCACTTCAAAAATGTAGTGTAGAATACACCGAATTTCAATTTTCAACTCAAGAATTTATTTGGCGTTGGTGAAATATAATTTTGGGTTTGCAACGATTGATTGTTGATACTAATCGATTTGGTGGGTTCTTGAAAAACTTTGGGTCTTCTTACAAAAAAAAAAAAAAAAACTTTGGGTCTGCCCTAAAGCATGAAATACCAAAATGAGATAGGAAGAACAATGTATGGTAAAAAAAAGAAGAAAAAATCATGTGTTGTGGAAATTAGGAGCTGAAATAATGATTGGCCAAACGACACCCATAGAAGCAAAAACTATCGTAAGTGGTAGCGTTGGCAATTAGGATCCAAATTCATGAATTAAATCCATCCACCAAATTATTCACCTAATCCAATTCATTTAAATTCAATCCATTTGATCAAAATCCAATTGGATTGGTGGATTCATGGATCAATCCATGGATCCAAATGACAAATTAAGATTTGGTACCTATATTTTTTATTATTTGACATTTTGGTACCTAAAATTTATATTTTTATAAAAAAAATATCATTGAAAAATTACATTTTGGTACCTAAAATTTTTCATTATGACATTTTAGTACCAAAACTTTTCAAATTTTACATTTTGGTCCAAGCCTTTTATGTCATTTGGATTAATGGATCAATCCACCAATCCATTTGATCCAATCCATGAATCCACCAATCCATTTGATCCATGGATCCACCAATCCAATCCACGAATCCGATCCAATTACCACCTCTAGTAAGTGGTGCTTCTCTTCTGTGTTTTAACTTTAAGTAGTGATTTCGCTTGCCAAAGAATTTGAGTCCAACACAAGCCACAATGGTTGGAGGATTATTGTTATGGCCTTATGGTACACACACTCCAGCTGCCGTTGATATGAAGCGTTATTGTTGCAAGTCGTGGATCCTATTATTAATCAACCAAACCAAATCAAATCAAATCAAAATCATATCAAATTTCTTTGTTGATGAACAGCACAGATGCATTGGTTGGTCAACTTGGATGAATTGGCCATTATTGTATACACGCCTTACGCGCACACAAATAGTTTCTTGTTTCATTACCAAACCGAATAATCATCGGAGCTGCATGCAGGGGAATTGGCGCAGAGCCACGAGCCCACAGAGGTTTTTAATAAATTGAAAACACGCAGGACAGAAGAGAAGGGAGGAGGAGGAACACGTGAACATCATAAATAGGGGAGCCACGAAAGCCTTGCTTTTCTTTTAATGGGTGGTTTGGATGGGGTTTTTTGGACGGAAAATATCGTCCCGAAACTCTCTTAAATTTATATTATTGCGTGAAAATCAGATGACATCCTATTGTCCAGGTGGTTCGATTGAAATAACTAATTTTTTTTTATCATGGTCTAAATAAATATGAGGGTTTTGAACAATATGAAATGGTCGAATCATGATAAAACCACCGGTACAGATTTACAATATCTGAAAATGCTTCGTTCAACTATGAGAAAATAAATAAATAAATAAAGTAGCAGACATTTGGTACAACATACATTTTGCAATTGCAACAATCCAATTCTGTTTTACCACAAAATTTGTGAAATGACCCTTCTTTTTCTAAATGAACCTTAGCTTGTTCTCGAAAATCAAAATTATGAATACCTTTTCTATGTCCTTTTTTTTCTTCTTCATGGATCCATACCGCGAGGCTGCGAACAAACAACCTACATGTTCTCATCGTTGTCATTGACATAAGATGAGATCTATTGGTCAAACTGAATATCTGTCTATTAATGTGCACGATGCAAACAAATTGTTTCGACCTTGGCATTTTAAGTTCCAACATGAGAGGAGATATATATATATATATATATATAGTCTGTTATTTATTGATTTACTTAGCTACCCAGGATAAAGAAATTGATCACTGTCTTTGTGCTAATAAACACTAGTCCAGTAAGCTTCATTTGATTATTAGCGTGGGGAAAACCTTAAAAAAGAAACAAAACAGAGGAAACAGAAAGTCCCCGAGAAGACAGCAAAAACTTTTGTCTGTTATTCCTGTTTTGCGGTTAGTTATACTTTCTGTCGCTCCATTGCACCCTGCACCTCCCCATAAATTAAAACCCACCACCCCCTCGAATCAGAGCTGGGTTTTATTCTCCCTCTCCCTTTCAGCCATTCTTCTCCTCCTTCCCTTCCTTACCCATCTCCAATTCCTTCTCCCTTCAAAATTACACCCTTTTCTTCTCCTCCCTCCAAGATCTGACCTTTCTTTCATCCTGCTTCATCTTTGGCGTTTCTGTTTAACGCATTTCTCTTTCTGTGATTGGTTCCTTCCTTTCATCCACCGCCCTTGCATTGCAGGTACGTTGATGTTTTTTTTCTTCTCCTTTTTGGAATTATGTTGTGTTTTTGTTTGTTCTCTGTTATTTGCTTTTACCCTTATGCTGTCCCATTTTCCCTTGTCGATTCCATGACCTCTATTTCGTTATTGTTCGCTTTCAATGTTATTCTGCATCCTGGGTCTTGCTGGAAATTGCCAAATTTGGACTGGGTTTCTGTTTTTTTTCTTTCGAAAGATCTCATGAATTTTTATGCACACTCGGTCCTCTGCCATTTTATGTTTCGTGATTGAGTGTTCGGTCGAAAGTTTCCATCTTTTTGTTGTTTCCGTATGAAATTGGTGATATCTCCTTTGCATTGACGTTGAGCTTCTCATTGCGCATTCTGGGTTCTGTTTTATTATAGGGGAATGCCTGTTTGCTCATCGTAGATCAGACTTGGCGCGCAGAGAAAATTTTCCCGCGAGATTCTTCCATTTAGGTTTTCTATAGAACAGGATTTCTGGCTTCCTAACGTTTTCGCCTTTGCAATTGGATTGTTAGTTTCAACATTGTTCTAGTGGTATGAATCGTGTCATGTTTCATTTGAAAACCTTGTTCATTTCCTGCAAATCTCACCTGGGTTTTCACCAATTTCATGTGTAGCTTGGGGAATGATGAAGAGCTAAAGAAAAAATGGGGAAGAAATCAAGTTGGTTATGTTCTTTTGCTCTCAGTTCTTCCAGGGTTTGTTCACTGCTTCTGCCATTGTCCCTTCCTACAAGCTATTTGCATTCATCAGTTTTTTTTGTATGGAGGTGGCTAAAGAGTAAAGGTTTACATTTGCTATTTTGATTCAATGTAGAGATTAAAATCAAAGAAGGGACTTGGTACAGCAAAGAGTTTGGACTCGATCGTTACAACCTACGACGATCTACCTAGATTTGATGTTCCCACCACTCCTCCGTCTCGTTCCGCCCCTCCACCTCCTCCACCACCGCCTCCACCACCACCACCACCACCGCGTCCAGCCCCAGCTGATGTGAAATTAACTGAAGCTGAGAATGAACATAGCAAGCATGCCTACTCCGTGGCGCTTGCCACTGCAGCAGCCGCTGAGGCAGCTGTTGCGGCTGCCCAGGCTGCAGCTGAGGTGGTTCGACTCACAAGTGCTGCTCATAGTTCCGGTAAACCAAAGGAGGAGATAGCAGCAATCAAGATACAGACTGCATTTAGAGGTTACTTGGTATGCAAGTCACACGCTAACTGGATAGTTTACTTTCACTCGTGAATTTTTCTTGGTAGTACTTGTTTGAAAAACCTGGGGTGTTTTCAGGCTAGGAGGGCGCTGCGGGCTTTGAGAGGCTTGGTGAGACTGAGGACAATGATACAAGGTCAATCTGTGAAAAGACAAGCAGCTTCAACTTTAAGAGCCATGCAGACTCTTGCGCGAGTGCAGTCTCAGATACGCGTAAGGAGGATCAGGATGGCAGAGGAGAACCAGTCTCTCCAGCGACAGATCCATCACAAACGCGAGAAGGATCTTGAGCGATTGAGATCTTCTGTAAGTACACTCTGATGCTTTTTGTGATTCAGACCCCATAGTGTGCTGTGTTAGAGTGTGTTCTCCTTGCTGTTCTTTTTCTCTCTTCAAGTATTTGTCATTCATCTACTGTGCTGTGGTTAGAGTGTGTTATCCTTTTTAAGTCTGCGTTTCATCGTGTATTTCTTGTGACAGATTGGAGTGGAGTGGGATGATAGTTTGCAATCGAAAGAACAAATTGAAGCCAACTTACTCCACAAGCAAGAAGCTGCAGTTAGAAGAGAAAGAGCCCTGGCTTATGCCTACACTCATCAGGTAAGGAATTTCCATGGACCTTGATGTTTAAATGCTCTCATATAACCCAAAGGAAAGATGATCCAATTTTTTAATCATGATCTGGCTGGCCCTCTGGTGCCAGTGCCGAATTGCAAGCATCTGGTACACATGTGTAATGTTTGCAGAAGCTTTTATCTAAACTTGCATCGTCAGGTTGACTCATATTTAATGTGCTCTACTGAATGATGATTCTTCTGCAACCAGCAAACATGGAAGAGCTCGTCCAAGAGCGGAACTGCAACATTCCTGGACCCTAACAATCCGCACTGGGGTTGGAGTTGGTTAGAGAGATGGATGGCAGCTCGGCCATGGGAAAACAGTAGTGCAGTGGACGACAATGACCGACTGGCATCTCTCAAGAGCTCAGTAAGCCGCACCATGTCTCTTGGCGACATCAGCAGAGGTTCTTCTCGTCGCAATCTCAACAAGCCTTCCCTAAGTGGTCAAAGATCGGGCAGTAAGCCTCCAAGTCGTTATTCACCTTCTAGTTCGAAGGCTACATCCATATCATCAGTGACAGGGAAAATGAAAGGACCGAACCCCAAGGGCAGCAGCAGCAGCACTTGGGGTGGGGATGATGACACAATGAGCATGTACAGTGTTCGGTCTGAGATTCGATACACGAGGAGGCACAGCATACCAGGGCGGTCCTTTAGAGACGACGAGAGCCTTGCAAGCTCGCCTTCAGTTGCTCCGAGCTACATGGGGGCAACACAGTCTGCAAAAGCCAAGTCACGGTTTTCAAGCCCAATGGGGGCAACAGCAGCTAAGAACAATCGGGCACCGGAGAAGGGATCTGTTGCATCAGCAAAGAAGAGGCTCACTTACTCTCCTTCCTCTGCTGGACTCAGGAGACATTCGGGTCCTCCTAAGCTCGAGGAATCCCCGTCGAGGAAGTTTGAGGCTGATCACTTGGAGGAGGATCATATCAACAACGGCGGAATGTCAATGTAGCAGTTCAGAAATCTCATTTAGGTATGAGTGAGGAGGATTGAGAAAGGCCAGAGAAATAAGAAAAGAAGAAGGAACTGAGAATGTTGGTTAAGAATAGTATTTCAGTCTTTTTGGTTTATGATGTTCTCATTTCATCAGTTCAGCATAGAGGGAAGGAGCTGAGAATAGGGATGAGGGGTTGAGAGATAGGGAGGTCTGGAAGGGAGGAATACAAGGTTGTCTCCTTGCTGGGAGGAAAGTTGGCTGTTCTGCTTCTCCTTTTCCATTACCATTGATCAACTTTCATTTCCCATTTCTTTGTTCAACAAGATTGCAGTTGGGTTTAATATAAAGCTAGGGAATGGTGGTGTTGAAGTTGAAGGATTAGCTTTAGGAGGGTTTGGGATCTAAGCATTTGTTCATTACAATGGTAAAATATTTTCTGACATCTTCTTTCTGTATTTTGTTTGTTTTGTTTTTTATGAGCAATCAAAAATTCTATTAAGCTAAAAGTGAGGGATGAACCAAACTCCCTCACAAAAGTTTTACATGTTCAACCAAAGCCTGTACAATTTTGAGGTACTTCTAATTATCAAATAGGACTCTAACCATACATTTTCCACTAATACACCAATCTCTACTAAATAGTAACTAACTGCAAATACTCTCTCAATCAACTTGCATAGCGGTAGTCCCAGTCCGAGCTAGTTCAAATAAGCTCTGGATTCGCGCCAAAACTCCAGCAACATCCACACTAACTCCACAATGCAACCTGTTGCATCATTCTCTCCACAATATACTCCTTGTCGCATTCCAAATCCATCTTCCAAGCTTTGTGATGCCTTCTTTGTTTTAAAGCTTCGAACAACCTAATTAAAAGAGCAACTAATCCAGATATAAACTTGATAATATTACTTAGTCAAGAATGATAACATCAAGTGGCTGTAGTTTAGTGGTAAGAATTCTACGTTGTGGCCGTAGAGACCTGGGCTCGAATCCCAGCAGCCACATTTTCTTTTGTCAGTCAATCTTTTATTTTCCATTTTTATTCAACTCTGTTTTCCAGCCCTGCTGTTTCGCGACGTTTTCAATCGCCATTGATACTACACAGACAGAAGTGACAGAACCACAATCTTCTCGAACGAGTTACTACTGGATGAATGCTCTAGTCATCGAAATTCCATATTTCGACTTCCCAACTTCACGAAAATGGTAAGACAAGCCTTTAGCTTCTTCTGTTTATAGCCTCCGATTTGGTGGAGTTCAATTTTTTACCCCCCTTCATTTTCTGTGTTAGGCTGTCAGCTTTCCAATTTCTGCATCTGGGATCATTAAAATCGGTTCTGGGTTGTTCCGATTTTTGTGTGTTATGCCGCTGCTATCGTTATTGTTCCCATCACTATGATTTTGAATAGTGCAATTTGAGTTCTTTCCTGTTGTCCGACTGTCTCTTTATCTTTTTTTTTATGTAAACCCTTGCAGTCTTGCTATCTATTATCACTTCATTCTAGCAGATGGCAACTTTAATCTTAAGATGCACATCGGGCTACACCTTTCTTGGCTGGAGTTGCTGCTGCTCTTGCTGGAAGATACGGGATCCAGGCATGGCAAGCTTTCCAGGCCCGGCCACCAAGAATGAGATTCTATGATGGTGGGTTTCAGCCTAAGATGAATAGAAGAGAAGCAGCTCTTATTCTTGGTCTGAGGTAACTAACTGTTAAGTACTACTTCTTTGCGTATGAGGAGTTATAAGTTATAACCTTTAGTTCAATCTAGTTATGCTCCTAACAGGGTATTTTGTTAGGAGATACTAACATAGCTGGATGGGCCTCCACGTCGCCAAACCGCCATCCATCGGTGGAGGAGAAAACGCGCTGGCCCGTGTGAAGGATGAGAGCCGATTCCATCGGCTGGGCCAAGCCCACTCCGTCTGGCGGGGCCCACCGGGCCCACTAATTCAAAAACCAAAAAAAAAAAAAAAATCCTAAACCCTAACCCAAATCACTTTCCCCAAATCAGTTTCCCCCCTCTCTCTCCCCCCCTTTCTCTCTCCCTTTCCTCTGCCTTTCTTCCTCTCCCGAACGCAGACGTCGCGACGCGCGGTGATTGGAACTCGGCGGCGTCGAATTCGGCGGCAGCAAAGTCTGGCGGCGGCGACGACCTTGCAGCGAAGGAGGAGATCTAGGCGGCGCTACCTTGCTGCGAATCGGAGATATCGGCGGCGACGTCTTGCAGCGAAGGCGGAGATCTCGGCGGCGGCGGCGAAGCAGCGAAGTCGGAGATCTCGACGGCGGTGACCTTGCACGAACTCGGAGATCTCGGCGGCGACGACTCTGCAGCAAACTCGGCGGCGGCAATCTCGGCGGCATCGATCTTGTCGGCGGCGACGAAGCAGCGATCTCGGCGGCGACGGTTTGCAGGTGACTCGGGTTTTGTGGAATGTTTCGTGGATATTAGGTTTCGTTTGGACAGATTTGAGTTAGGGTTGCATGATTCGTTCTTTTGTTGATTTTATTTCTGGGTTTTGTGGAATGGCTTTCTGTTTGTGTCGATATTAGTTCTGTTTGTGTCGATATTAGATCCGTTTGTGTCGATATTAGTCATGTTTGTGTCGATGTTAGTTCTGTTCGAGCATGATATGAGTTGTTACTTTCCTGGATAGTTGTTTTATAGGATCTGGGTATTTGTCTTTGCAGGTTATTTATCAATGGCAAAGACTAAAACGAGCGGGAAGAGAGCTCCACTGACTTCACCCCATCCACCACCACCACCGCGACAGCGAGAGGAAGATGAGGAAAAAGATGATGCTGAAGTCGAAGCAGAAACAACTGCACAGCAAGATGCTGAAGTCGAAGCAGAAACAACTGCACAAGGAGCCGCTCGAGGTCGGAAAAATCTGAGGTACAGATTACAGACATTATATTATTTATTTTGCTTGTATTGTTTCTTGGATATATCTGGATATTTGTTTTGGCAAGCATGATATCAGATGTAACTTGTCTGGATAGTTGTTTGATATATGTGGATATTTGTTTGACATTTCGGGATGTTTGTTTGATTGATCTGAATATTTGTTTGGACATATCTGGATATTCCTTTGATATATCTGGATATTGGTTTTGTCAAGTATGATATCCGTTGTAACTTGCCTGGATAGTTGTTTGATATATGTGGATATTTGTTTGACATTTCGGGATGTTTGTTTGATTTATCTGAATATTTGTTTGACATATCTGGATATTCCTTTGATATATCTGGATATTGGTTTTGGCAAGCATGATATCAGTTGTAACTTGCCTGGATAGTTGTTTGATTTATCTGAATATTTGTTTGACATATCTTGATATTTGTTTAATTTATCTGCATATTTGTTTGACCAATCTAGATATTTGTTTGATATATCTGTATATTTGTTTGTGCATGGATTTATCAATGGCAAGAAATAAAAGGACCGCGAAGAGAGCGCGAGGGAATCCACCGCCATTGCGGGAGGAGGATGAGGAAGAAGATGTTGAAGTTGCTGCACAAGCAGCTGCACCAAGAAATAATATTCTAGGACAAGGCAAGCCGTGGTACAGATTTCGGTGCCATACCAAATCTCTGCTAGATGTTATTAATTACTGGAAGGAAGAGCCAAGGTACTATGAAGCATGCAAGAAAGAGTTGGAGAAGGCTGGATTTGGAGGGTTATTGGAGCTTCGATTGGCAAATTTTCCTAAGAAGTTGTTCGATACCTTGATGGCACAGTACGACTTGGTCACCAGTTCATTCATTTTCGGTGAAGGGGAGAACAAGAAGGTGCTTACAATCGAAGCTGAGGATGTTGCCCGTGTTTACGGCCTTCCTATTGGTGGAGCTGAGATTGATGTCGTTAGGTCTAACGACAAGATGCTTGATATGTTCTTGGAGGAGCTCAACATCGAGTGTAATCGAAGTCGAAATGTCGAAGTCATGGATCTTAGAGAGGCAGCCTGTGGTGGTCCCGATGACGCACCAAAAAGGAGACCACCTGTTGCAGCCGCAGTGAAGCAGTTTTTGTTGCTGGCTATGGGTTCGATGCTCGTCCCAAAGATGTCACGACTTTGTGATCTCGATTATGCTGAGTACCTTGTTGGAAGGGTGGAAGACATTGCCACTTTTAATTGGAGTGGTTTTGTTGCCCGCAATCTGAAGTTTGAGTTGTCTCGTGCTAAGGAAAACGAAGCTGAACTAAGGCATCATGGTAAACAGCAATGGCCTCTCGGAGATATCCACTTCTTAACGGTAACTTCTCCTTTAACATTGTTGATATTGTTAAGTTGATTTGCTTAGGATATTAGTTTTCTGTGCCTTTGATGTTAGTATCGCTGCTTAGGATATTAGTTCTTTTAATTTCTGATATTTGATTTCTTTGCCTTTGATATTAGTATCGCTGCTTAGGGTATTAGTTCTTTTTATTCGTGATATCTGTTTTGTGTGCTAGTGATATTAATAACCGTGCATGGGATAATAGTTGTTTCATTTCTGATATTTGTTTTTAACTTTTTTTTATAGATCCATTTGCTGGACTTCCTTAATGTGAGAGGGTTTGCCACAAAAACCATCCCTACCTGCAGCTATTGGTTCGAGCCTAGGGTGGAGAAGGTGTTCTTGAATATCCCCAAGGAAGCTGACAAATATCTTCTTGGTCCGATGTTGTTCTCAAGAGAAGAAGTCAAATCCCGCTTCCGTCCAGAACGTGTCAGGAGGGATTGGGAATCTAGATCAAGCAGCTCGGCTTCTACTACTGAATGGTGGAAGGATGTTGACTTGGAAAACCTTGATGATGATGAGGTATGTATATATTCTCTCTGCAACTCAAAATAATCGGTTAGTGGCCATGGGTGTTTGTAGTGAACTAAATTTGTTTTCAATATATGTGTAGCTTAAGGCATTGGAGTCCATGACTGAAAAAATGATGGATGTATGGGAGTCAAGGCGGGATAGTGTTTGGAGATTTGTCATTTTGCGCCATCAACAAACCAAATGATATTGGCAAATTTTCTCTCTTTAATTGGATGTAATGTGCTTGTTGGGATTTGATCTTTGCCATGTTGGAATGGCTTGAACATTCAGATTTATGTTTCTTGTTGGGATTTTATCTTTGCCATGTTGGAATGGCTTGAACATTCAGATTTCTGTTTATTGTTGCTTTGTTATCTTTGCCATGTTGGACGGCTTGAACAAATTGTTGGTTTTGGATATTATTTCTTTTCATGATTGCATCGAACATGTGTTGTATGTTTGGATATTACTCTGTGTTGTCAGGGTAATTGATTCAAATTATGTTTGGATATTGTTCTGTGCGGTCTGGATAACAGCTCCTTCATGATTGGATATTACTCTGGCAGTTTGGATAATAATTTAGTGTGCTTGTACGTGTTTTTCCGGCGACCAAAACAAAGAAGGAAAAGGGGCAAAGTGGCGAAATCTTCTTCGACTTTGGTCTCTGTGACCAAAGCGAGGATGAAAAAGGATGGAGACGGGAAAGGCAAGAACATGTGCAGCCGCTTCTACTCTCGGAGAATACATGAGAAGACAGTGTTGTCTATTGTCGAGCCTGAGGTCGACATGCCTATTGATAAGTCCACTACTGAGATGGAGGTGGAGCCAGAGTCAGTTGCCGCTACTGAGATGGAGGTGGAGCCAGAGTCAGTTGTCGCTACTGAGCTGGTTCGGGAGCCAGAGTCATTTGTCGAGCCTGAGGTCGACATGCCTGTTGTTAAGTCCACTATTGAGATGGAGGTGGAGTCAGAGTCAGTTGTCGCTACTGAGATGGAGGTGGAGTCAGAGTCAGTTGTTAGGACTGATCTGGTTCGGGAGCCAGATTCTGTTTGTGTCGAGTCTAAGGTGGAGGTCTCTGTTGTTCAGTCGGGGGAGCCAGGCGAGCAGTCGACTGTTAATCCACTTAAGGAGATGGGGGAGCCAATCGAGCAGAGTATGGGTACATCTCCGACTACGATAATATTTCTCTTACCATTAGCCTCTAGTATGGGTTTTTTGGATATTTGTTACTTGATGAGTAGATACTGGCAATCTTTTGCAGATACCAGTCGAGTCAACTACTGCTGCCCAGGAGAGTATCACAATGGTCCCGACTGAGGTTCTAACTCAAGGATTAGCAGGACCATCAGAGGAGGAGCTTATAGCAGCAGCATGTGAGCTGATGGAGGATAGAGACCCGGATACTACATTCGCGAATGTGATGCAGATTGGTTTCCAAGCCACTGCTACCGCTGAAGATAGTATCAAGACATCTCCGACTACGGTAATATTTCTCTTACCAATAGCCTCTAGTATGGGTTTTTTGGATATTTGTTACTTGATGAGTAGATACTGGCAATCTTTTGCAGATACCAGTCGAGTCAACTACTGCTGCCCAGGATAGTGTCACAATGGTTCCGACTGAGGTTCTAACTCAAGGATTAGCAGGACCATCAGAGGAGGAGCTTATAGCAGCAGCATGCGAGCTGATGGAGGATAGAGACCCGGATACGACGTTCACGAATGTGATGCAGATTGGTTTCCAAGCCACTGCTACCGCTGAAGATAGTATCAAGACATCTCTGACTACGGTAATATTTCTCTTACCAATAGCCTCTAGTATGGGATTGCTGGATATTAGTTTCTTTTTGTATGGATAATATCATGGGCTGCCAGGATATTGTTTTCGTATTGAGTGGATACTATCCTGGGCGTTTATGATATTGGTTTCTTTTGTTATGGATACTAGCTTGGGCTTGCTGGATATTTGTTTCTATATGAGTAGATACTGGCCATGTTTTGCAGTTTCTTGTCGAGTCAACTACTGCTGCCCAGGAGGATAGCGACGATGATATTATCATCTCTGAGTGCATTAAGAGTGCGGAGGAGGCAGAGTATTTGTACTCTATCACACCGGAAGCTTGGAAAGCAACCCTGAAAACTCCAGAGTTTGATAGGTCAAAACACCACCCCTTCGGCGAATCAATGTACGTTCTGCCAAAGACTATGTCGATGAAACTCGACGTTACAGCTATGCAAGTGGTTGACTTCATATTCAGTACTCCTGCTCCAGCCAAGTAAGTTGATTGAGGAGTTATTTAATCACCAATTTCAATTTGCCCAACCCAAATTTCTAAACTGGTTTTCATTTGTGTTTTACAGTGAGAAATTTGTAGTGGATACTCCAACCGGTACCCTTTCCCGTGAGCAGCTACATTCATTGAAGGCTAGAAGTTGGTTGCATACCCAAGTACTTGTACTATACGGGAATTTGATAAATTACAAAGAAGCAGGCAAGGAGGTGGTGCAAAGAATTGTCTTCCCATGGAGTTATGTAGTAAGTATTATCTTCACTGCTTAGATACTATTTATATTTAAAATATCTAATTTCATATTGTTGTCTCTTCTAAATAGCAATATGCCGTCACTAATGCTTATTCGAACCAACCCATGGACAAGGCGAGACTAGATGCATGGATTCATCTGCACAAATACAATCCAATGCTGAAACGGGAAAACTTGGAAAGATGTGATTACGTAAGCGACTCTGCTAGTTTGGATTTTTTTAATTTTCATAGATATTGGTATGGGTTTATAGGATATTATTCTGGTTTGTTGAGATATTAATTTGGGTTATTAGGATATTAGTCAATGATAAACTCACAAACTGCTTTGTGTTTCAGATATTTTTTCCAATGTATCGAAATGATCACTACCGGGTGTACGTGGCTGACATGAAGAATAGGAGGACTTTCGTACTTGACAGCCAAAAGCCCAATGCCCGAGTGGCTAAGGAGGATCATGGACCAGTTGGAAGCATTATTTTTGGGTATGCAGCGGCGTTCCTCAAACATCAGGGGGTCGATTTTGCAATGGATGAGTGGCCATTCAACATTGCCGACGTTCCTCAGCAAGAAGGAAACCATGATTGCGGTGTCTTTGCATGCCTTTACATGGAGTTGTGGGCGGGTCACCTTCCAATGGAATATAAAGCAAGTTGGCACAAGCAGCCACATGTGCAGGAACAGCGAACACGGATTGCAGCCAACTTGCTTTTATGGGAGCATAACCGCCGCAAAGATGAAATAGTTGAAGGTGCAATAAAATGGCATGCGAAGAAGGAGAAGGAGAAAGGCAGAAGGAAGAGAAGGTGATTTTAGATTTTAGTTTGTAAAACTGAACTTAGGCTTGGATAGAGGATATTTTGCAAGATGTTGGATACAATTACAATGTTTATTTAAACAAATATCATGCTTATTTAAACATCGAAGGAGCAAAGTGACAGACAAATATCCTTACAGCCCAGAAAAATATCATGTTTATTTAAACAAATATCGGCAAGCTAATAGACAAATACCCTTACTGACCAGACAAATACCATGTTTAGTTAAACAAATATCTGCAAAGTGACAGACAAATGTCCGAAAGACCCAGACAGATATCCGAAAGATCCAGACAGATATCCTTCTTTTGTAGACTAATATCTTTGGAGCCCAGACTTATAGTAAATCTAAATCTGTACATGTGAATAGTGACTAATATCATTGATACAACACATATCTGTACACATCTCTGAATAGTGACTAATATCATTGTACTCGCTTCAAAAATACTGATATCCAGGAAGCCCAGAATAATATCTGTACATTCTACAAAACATATCAAGGTTGCCCAGACAAGTATCCTAAGAAATTGTATTAATATCCACTGCAAAACAAAAACGTATCCTGGAATCACATGTCAATTTGATATCACAGTAGACCACTCTCAAACCACCCTACATTCTATTCATAACCATTGAGCAATATTATCATCCAAATCACTAAGATGGCCATCCGAGTGAGCAGTGTCGTCCGGCGTGACCACTTCAATGGATTTCATTCTCTTCCTATATTCACGTTTCTTTCGACGACGTTCCTTTTCATTCGTAGACTGGTAACGTTCCTTACCGTGACTCCTTGGATTACTCTTCTCCTTCAAAGTCAGCCCAGTTATCAGTACAGATCGTCCTACAATGTTAGAGAATTTAGTAAATGCAATGATATTAAACTCTAACAATTTACAAATGTTATTAGTGAATATACTTACTGTCCTCGCTAGTTATAGTCTTTGACAATGCCTTGTTTGCCTCATTGCACACTTTCTTGAGTACTCCCATCCACTTATTGTAGTCCTTCTCATCGGCCATCGACATATTCATTGCTAGCTGATTCAACATTGCAGTGGTTTCCCGGTACCGCATTGCTATACCTTTTCCCGCATCATTCTCATTGGGAGCTGAAGGACCAACAGAACCATCGACATCAACAACTTCTCTCCCTCTCGCCTCCAACGTCCATCGCTTGAGTATGTAATGATCCGGAATACTTCTCATACTTACTTCCCCAAAATCTCCAAGAAGCCACATCACCTTAATCATGTGGCGGCATAACACTCCTAAAGTTCTGAACATTCTGCATTCGCATACCAAGGTCGTCGTATAAATATCGACGAGGACGACACGCTCATCACTACGCTCACCATCCTCCATCATATATATGAGGTAGCCAATCATGCCATCATCCCTATTATCCGAGAGCTTCTTTATTATATAGGATTCAGCCACCAAATACTGCTTCTGTATCCTTTCGAAAATGTTAGGAGTAAAGATCTTTGCCGCATGTTGGAGGATCGGGCTATTCTCCAACATTATATAAGGAATCGATTGTTTTGCATTGTACTCTGACTCTGTCTCCTTGCGTCTTTTGTCAGCCAACAAACTACAATTAGGAAGCAAGAGAAAAGACTTCAGTGCCCAGACTAATATCCTCACGGACCCGTACTAATACCCAGAAAAGATAAACAAATATTTAACCATACCAGAGAAATATCCAAACTGACAATAAAAATATCCAACCCTAACAGACTAATATCAAAGAAGGGAAAAGTCATATTGCGCGTGTGTACCTGCTAAAGTGAATGAAAAACAAGTCCAAATCATGCCTCGGCTTCAAGAAAAGTCGCACTTGTGCATTGCACGACTCACTAGCTTGCGTAGTCAACATCCCGGCTGTGAATTGATCTCTCAACCATAAAGAACACCATCGATGACGGAATTTCTTCAAACGTTCCAACCATTGATGGCCATCCGCAATGTCGCTATTTGGGAAACAATCAGAAACCATGGTGCTCCATGCCATGTCGAACTCTTCCTCGCTGTCGACGTCATAGAAAATAAAAGAAATATGATGTTGGAACTTCTTCCAAAATGCCTTGTCCTTGCGAAGATGCTTCTTGGCATTCATGAGGATGTGCCAAGTACAGAGGGCATGAAACACAGTAGGCCACTCATTTCTAAGGGCAGCTGCCATGGCTGCATCCTGATCAGTAAATATAGTGATTGAAAGCTTATTCTTCATGCATCGACTAAATGCAACAAACAACCATTCAAACGACGGAGTAGTCTCGTCATACATCAAACAAGCACCAAACACACAAGTTTGGCGGTGGTGATTGAAACCTACAAACATCCCTGCACGAGACAACTATTAATGACAATGCATAACCGAACAAGTGTCGAAAAAACTCAAATGAAATAGGTGATGAATAGTAAACAACATATAATACCCGTACTGGTATAAAAACATACCCTAATTCCTCTCCTACTATTATTAGTTCATGGGCCTTCGGCCCATGGGCCCTCGGCGGGCAGCCCTAACTAAGGTTGCAAGCCTATGTGTTAGGTCTTGATAGTGTCACAGTATATGCCAATCAATATCAGTAAAGCCCAGACTAATATCGTATGAAAGGTTACCAATACCCGTCGTGTTACAAACAAATATCCTGGGCATCACATGTCAATATCATACCACCAAGGACCAATTCTATTCATAACCATTTCTGCAATATAATTAAAAACATCCATGCGAAAGAACTCAAAGGAATTAGGGGATTAACGTACCCAGTGGACAGAAGTATTTATTGGTTCGGAAGGTGGTATCAAAGGAGACCGAATCTCCAAAAAGCGCATAATCTTCACGCATCCTACTGTCCACCCAAAATATATTAGCAACTTTCTCTTCGGAATCCACCTCTACAGCATAAAAGAATCCAGGATGCTTGTCCTTTTGGTCCTCAAAGTAGTCCAGCAAATAAGTCGCTTCACCACGAGCCATTGTCCTTTGCCTTTTAGTGTTCAAGTGGTTCTTCTGATCGGATTTGGTAAATCTCAGATTTTGATACCCACCAGCACAATCAGCCAATAACTGATACGACGCACTAAGACTCATCCCGGCATCGCGATTAGCTTGAGCCATCTTTTTCTGAGCATCACTCATGCACTTGTTCGACTTGTGCAAGTGCATATGCTCGGTAGAGTGCAAACCATGACTGCGGGCTTCTACGAATTCATACACCACAAATCCCTCCCTAGCAGCATCCCATCCAAAACGAACACGGGCGGGACATCCATCCCTAACTCGAGGCCTCTTTCTTTTGCAAACCATTCTCTCCTCCACCTTGTCTTCCGACTGTATCTGATTATCCATATTGACTTTGCTTGTGGAAGTCCAGCCTTCCTTATTACAAAAGTAATAAAGGTATGCATAATTTTTCTCCACCACTCCTTTAGAATTCTTGATCTTTCTTATGTGTTCCCCATCTATTCGAACACCAAACCCTTTTTTGTGAGCGTAGCGCTTATAGAAATCAAAACACTCATCCTTAGTGCGATAAAAGATGTTCTTCCTCGCTTCCTCGTCTTCTAGATCCAACGTCTTATGAGCTGCGAGTTAATGGTATGAGGCATGTTATTATCCATTCTTGACCACAAACTGTTAGAATACATAGGCGTCAACAAATATCCAGAATTCAAATAAATAATATCTATAACTACCAGACTAGTATCAAACAATGCATTAAATAGTGGGTCACACACCAAATATCATGTTTCGTTACAGCCCAGACAAATATCATGTTTCGTTAAACAAATATCGGCAAGCATATATACAAATATCCTTACAGCCCAGACAAATATCATGTTTCATTAAACAAATATCGGCAAGCAAATATACAAATATCCTTGCAGCCCAGACAAATACCATGTTTAGTTAAACACATATCTGCAAAGAAACAGACAAATATCCGAAAGATCCAGACAGATATGTCATTCTCACAACAATTTCAACATCAAACACCCATAACAACATCAACATCATTCAATGCTATTCTCACAACAATCTCAACATCAAATATTCAATGCAACCAACCAATCTCACAACAACACAAACATATAAAGAACTCAATCAACCTTTATCTTCTTCTTCTTCTTCGTTGAGGGCAGGAGTACCACTTGAATCTTCATCAACAAACTCATATGATGTAGGATAGAGTTCTTCTTCTTCACAGACATCTCCGATCGATTTACCCTTCTTCATTGGAGAAGATCCTTGATCATCCAACTCCCCATTGTCGTCGATCGGCATAGTAGAAGGTCGCCGGAAAGGAAAGATGGTCGCCGGAAAAGAAGATGGTCGCCGGAAAATACAGTTGGGCGGCGGCTCTCTTCCTTTAGAAGAGAAGAAAAACAGATAAAAATTGAAGAGAGAGAGGCAATTTTCGGGTTTGGGTGGGTAGGGTAGTTGGGAGCATTAAATTCCTCCACTTTCTTTGAATTTTCTTTTTTTGTTTTTTGTTTCCCCAAATAAATGACCCACTTGTGCCCCTTCTTTCCATTTCTCCCCCCTTGCCACCTAAACCCTACCAAGCCGCCACCATCAGCTCCATCATTCATCTCAGCTGGGTTAAAAAACCCACAAAACTCCACTGGGCCGTGTCAGTATCTCCACAAATATCCAAACAACACAGACAAATATCCAAACGACACAGACAAATATCCAAAAAAGACAGACTAATATCCAGTCTCAATAAAAAACTATCCAAACACCCCAGCCTAAATATCCGAACGTCGCGAACTAATATCCGTTCAGCCCACTCGGGCTTGCGGCGGGGCCCGCCGGGCCCACTAATTCAAAAACCAAAGAACAAAACCCTAAACCCTACCCCTTTTAACGTTCTTCCCCAATTGCCAAATCTCTCCCTTTCCTCTGCCTTTCTTCCTCTCCCGAACGCAGACGAAGCGCCGCGCGGTGATTGGAACTCGGCGGCGTCGAACTCGGCGACAGCAAAGTCTGGCGGCGACGACGATCTAGGCGGCGGCGGCGACCTTGCAGCGAAGGCGGGGATCTCGGCGGCGACCTTGCTGCGAAGTCGGAGATCTCGGCGGCGGCGGCGAAGCAGCGATCTCGGCGGCGGCACTTTGCAGGGAACTCGGGTTCTTCATCAAGTAAGTTTTCAAGCATAGTTTCGTGGATATTAGTTTTCGTTTGGATAGATTTGAGTTAGGGTTACATGATTCGTTCTTTTGTTGATTTTATTTCTGGGTTTTGTGGAATGGCTTTCTGTTTGTGTCGATATTAATTCTGTTTGAGTCGATATTAGATCTATTTGAGTCGATATTAATTCTTTTTGTGTCGATATTAGTTCTATTTGTGTGGTTATTAGTAATGTTTGTCTCGATATTAGTTGTCTTTGTGTCGATATTTGTTCTGTTTGTGTCGATATTAGTTATGTTTGTGTTGCTATTGGGATTCTTTTGATTTGGGCGATTTGGATTTCTTTCTATTTGCGGGATCTGAGATTTTCATTGATATTAGCTATTAGTTCAATGATATTAGTTCTTTTCAGGAATTGTGCAAGATGACAAAATCCAAAAGGTGTTCGATGCCCCCTCCTCCAAGAGAAGGGGAGGCGGAGAAACATCACTGGCTCAATCCAGACGCATCATGCTGGGAAAACAAAGATTTTGACAACCTTGACCTAAATCAGGTACATAGATGTTGTTTTTGCTTCTTAAGTGACATGGTTGCATATAGTAAACTAAATTTTTTACAACATATGTAGCTTGGGGCAATGGAGTCAATGGTTGAGAGCATGATCCAAATGTGGAAGGCTCGGGACGACGCGCTCAAAAAAATTATCAAGCGTCAGCAAGACAATAGTTGAACTATTGCTTTCTCATTTCTTATATGGTTCTGCTTTTTCGGATTTGACATTCTTGGATTATTGTAATGACATTAAATACTAGTTTTATCGCGATTTATCTATCAAACGACTCTTTTTATTGGGTATAAAAAAACGAATCTTTTTATTAAGAATTCGAGTTTTTTATTCTGGAATATTATTTGCTCGTCGAAAACTCATCTCCACAAAACAAATATCCAAACCACTCAAACTAATATCCGACTGTCGCACTAATATCCGTTCTCCATTACAACTAATAATTAAACCTTTAACCCTAAAAAAATTCCTAAACCCTAACACTAACACCCTAATCACTTTTCCAAAAAAGCTCTATTAGAATATCGAAAAGTCCAAGAAAATTTCGAAAACATGAACTAATATCAATTCAAACCTAAGCTAGACCCTAAACCCTTAACATAAACCGTAACACAAACCATAAACCATAAACTATTATTATTTAATGGGCCTTCGGCGGGCAGCCCTAACTAAGGTTGCAAGCCTTACGTGTTAGGACTTCCTAGTGTGTTTAATTTCCTAGTGTGTTTAATTTGATGTAAGAAACAATATTCCAATCCTTCACAAATTGAAAACCAAACCATAAACCCTAAAACTTAAACTCTAAATTGGTGTAATCAGTTTCGGGTGGTTGGGTTATTTTGGGGTTTGGTAAATATTAATTTAATGATGGCTACTGAAAACAAATAAATATCCAACACAATGATTCAAAGTAATATCAACACAACACATAATAACATCCACTGAAAACAAATAAATATCCAAATAAACATACATATATATCACATGGGGCCCAAAAATTTCATTCTCTTTCCACTCCAACCCAAAATCCCGCCCAAACTGAAGCCGGGCCCACCACGCTTTCCACTCCAACCCAAAATCCCGCCCAAACTGAGGCCGGGCCCACCACGCCACGAACTCGGCTCGCCTTCTGCGCCGCACGCTGGGCCGGCTTCTACACGGAAGCCCATCTCCAGCTCATTTAAGTGAGCCACCACTCTCCTCCATTGGATGAAGCCCAAGCACACGTGGCCCAAAATCTGACCCTATCAGTATCTCCTAACAAAATGGCCTGTTAGGAGACTAACTTTTTCGCCTTTAGTTTGGTTCAAATGTTCTTCGAAATGACATGATCTATATCCAAGAAAGTATTGATGTTTTTCCAAGTTTGGTAAGCTGTGACATGTCAGATATTTATGCTGCAAATAGTAGAACATCTTTCTGGTGCTTATGAACATGAGAACTTAGATTGATATATCCGGGTCGATCAGTTAATCATGTTTGTTCATGATCATAGATCCATATAGAGATGGTTAGTCCGCGAGACATATTCTTCCTTTATGCTTCAACAGATCCTGAATTGTTTTCCAATGCTCTTCTGCTTTCCCATTGGATAGGTGTAGTGATTGTAGTTACCTGGAACGGAGTGGAAGGATGTAGCTAGTGTGAACTCAATCAATGGAATCATGCATACTCCAAAATGTACACTTCGTGACCACTTATGCTAATTTGTTTATCATGTGCTGTCATTCAAATCTGTAATTTATATGCATTTTCAAGGTTCAAAACTGGCAGTCAGATTGAAGCACTATGAGAAACTTGCAGGATGATGATTATGAATACCTAGTGTTTCTTTCTAATAAAGGTGAAAGCCAGTTTTCTCCTGATGCCATGTTATTTTGTTTCGATAGGGAAAGTGCGACCCCAGCCAGACAAGGTGAAAGAAGCACATAGAAAAGTAATGGTAGCAAACCATCCCGATGCAGGTGGTAGCGATTTACCTCGCATCCATGATCAACGAAGCCAAAGATGTGATGCTTGGGAAGACAAAGGGGAGTAATTCTGCTTTCTAGTGTCCATCTCCAAAGTTGAAATTTTGCTGAAAGAGGGAAGCATCTGGTTGAAAGCAGCAGGTCTTTTCCCTTACCCTATAGCATCACAGAATTTCTGCTGAACTCAGTGAAATGACAACAATCTAAAAGAAGGGTTCCAAATGCTTCCATGCACAGAACACGGCTTTGCTTTTAGCTTTGGTTAGCAATAATGAAGAGCATGTTTGGTTGGAGCAGAGAATATTTTCTTCTGATAGCAATAATGAAGAGCAGTGTGATTGAGATATTAACAGTGAGAAGAACTGTGGTTTTCTGAAGCATGGACATGATCATTGAGCTATATCACATGAATCACATTAGCACTCTCATTATTTTATACGACTAAAAACCCAGTTCATTATTGGTGGGCGGGGTGCTTTTGTTCTTAATTGGTGGAATCCTATGTAATTAATAAATAAATAAATAAAAAGCTTTGTTAGGTAGGGAGCTGCAGAGAGATTAAGAAGCCATTAGAAAGCCGGTTGATTGTGGTCTGTGGATAAGCTAATGAATTCGTTAGGAAAAGAGGTGCGCAAAAGAGACCAAATATATTGTACTAATTCGATAAGGTTAGCACCAATACCTTTCTCGTCCTTTTGGCTAAGATTAAGGGATAAGGTTAGCACCGGGAGGAGTTACCGTGCTAATTTCATAGTAGTTACCACTAAACTAACTACTCTAATCACCATTCATTTTTTGGGAAAAAATCCAAAAGTACCACTGTTTAAAAGAAAATTTTCAAAAATAACACCCAACCCCAAAAAATTCCAAAAATACCACCCTTTTTCAAAAACCGTCACCCCACATGCGGTTTACACGAAAACCGTTTGTTGGGGGCGCGGTTTTCTATGCAAACCGCGGGCCTAGGGGGTGGTTATAAAAAAAAATTGGACCAAACCGCTGGGTGGGGTGGCGGTTTGACCCAAAACCGCCACCCCACCCAGCGGTTTGGTCCAATTATTTTTTACTTTTTCGATCAACTCCTAACTTCGGTCGAAACTTCAAACGAACGTAACTTTGTACTCGGGTATCCGATCGTAGCAATTTGTTTTTTCATTTCGCATAACTTTTCAAGATCTACAACTTTTACTAGGATGAAATTTTCAAAACAGGAACTATTTGTGGATATACGGGACCTTGGGAATAACTTTACCTTTACTTTTCAAAAATCCATGTACATTTTGAAATTATGATTATATTAAAAGTTGTAGATTTTGAAAAGTTATGCGGAATAAAAAAAAATTCATAACATTCGGATTTTGGAGCACAAAGTTATGGCCGCCCAAAGTTTGACGAAATCAAAGACCCGGCGGTATGCGGCTTGCAAGATCTCAAAAAGTTTGCGGCCTCCATTTTTTGAATCCGAATAAATTTTTGAGATCTTGCAAGCCGCAAACCGCCGGCCCCGCCTTCGTCTCGAAAAACGTCATTTGCCACCCCGAACGAGCCTTTTTTTGATTTCGTCAAACTTTGGGCGGCCATAACTTTGTGCTCCAAAATCCTAATGTCATGAATTTTTTTTGATTCCACATAACTTTTCAAGATCTACAACTTTTAATATAATCATAATTTCAAAATTTACATGGATTTGTGAAAAGTAAAGGTAAAGTTATTCTCGAGGTCTCGTATATCCACAAATAGTTCCTGTTTTTTTTTTACAAAAGATATATATTAATCAACATAAAAAGATAGTTACATCCTGGAACTCAGCCAGGCCCGAAAATCAACAGCACGACAAGCAGCCGGGTACATTGAAAGGGCCTTTCTAGCCACCAAGTGGGCTACCCTATTACTACACCGACCTACAAATCGAATACTCAAACCAGGATGGAGGGCAAAAATTTGCACTACCTCGCTAAGAACAGCCCCCATCCTACTATCATCTACATCCCTCCGCCGCATTTTATCGATAATTACCTTGGCATCCCCCTCAAAGCGAATCATACTAAACCCTTGAGCTAAACACCATTTCACAGCCTCTCGAAGCGCCAGGACTTCAGCAACCACCGGATCATCAATAACTGGGAACTGAACCCCTGCAGTCCTCAGGACCCCACCCTCTGAACTCAGCACCATGCCCCCCGCAGAGTGGGAGCCTGATTTCGTCGCCCCATCCCACTGACAGAGAAGACCAGCATCCCCTTGCGGAGCCGGATGACTTTGCAAGGCCCCCATAGCCAAGCCAGGGGCAGGGTCCCCAGGCAACCGCACCCATTCATCCACTTGCTGCTGAAACTGGCGCACCAAGGCCAAAAAGGCAAACTGTTTACCCTCAAACACCACCCAATTCCGGGATTTCCAAATCCTCCAAAGGACTGCCATCACAGCCATGAATAGAGAAGGTTGATGGCCCAGGGCCAATAACCGCTTGAGGAAGAGAGGAAAGGGCTGCCTCGGAAGTCCCTCGCCCATAAATTCCAAACCAGAATAATCCCACATAGCTCGAGAAACCGGACAATAAAGGAACAGATGCTCCAAGGACTCTAGCTCATCCCAGCAAACTGGGCAACGTGGCAGAACCGGCACCTTCTTCTCAACAAGGGCCTCCATCGTAGGGAGAATGCGATTAAAAATCTGCCAGGCAAAAATCTTAAGCTTAGGCGGAATATTCGCATCCCACAAACGGATCCAACTGCTCTTATCCATCCAGCTAACCATATCCCTCCACCGTCCCGACCGTTTATCAAGAGTGACTGCAAGGTGGTAGGCAGACTTTACCGTGAAAATCCCATCCGAAGTGCCATGCCAAACCAGTTTATACTCCACACCCTGGACCGGGAGAGGGATAGCACGAACAGCCTTGCACGTAGCCGGATCAAACCATTGATGTAAGCTATCCACACACCACCCCCTCCCCCCAGACACATGACCGCAGCTACCCGCGGCTCCCGATCTACCAGCAACACCCGAGGGTTAAAAACAGGAATTTCAGGATGTAATCCAGGTATCCAGTTGGAATGCAGGAGCGGAGCAGTCTGGCCATTCCCGATTTGCCATCGCAAGCCAGCTGCCAAGAGCTCACGCCCATGGAGGATACTCGTCCAACCCCACGAGGGGCGCGAACGAGCTTTGGCCTCAAGGAACGTGCCCTGCGGAAAATATTTCCCTTTATAAACCTTCCCCAAGAGGGATTGAGGGTCCATC